GAAATAGCTTGAAGTACTGACAACTGGATCTACTTGATGCTGTAAATAAAGAAGCCAGAACACAGGTTGCAGTCAGAATACTGTAACTGACAATGATGAGGGTAAACAGCTAAGTCCTGTTTTGCTTCTATTTATCTGCCAGAGCTCCTTCCCAAAAACTTTTTATGTAATCTGTCTCCAATGCCTGTTTCACAAAGGGGAAACTGAACAATTGTGGAGTGGTGATTGAGCCCTTGCCACTTTAAACCCAGTGACACAAGCTGTCTCTGAACTTAGTTTGAGATAAAGGACCTGCTTGCTAGGCCTTCAAAGAACAAGCCTTTTGAGGAGGGATGAACTCTATGAGAGCTGTAAGACACACAACTGGATACCATTAACTTCAATCATTATTTTCCTTATTTTGTGATGTGTAAGGCCTGTCAGTATGTCACCTAAATTCAAATGCTTTTATAAAGATTTAATTCTCTCTGCCCATGTTGTATTTTTTTGCTCAGGCTGAAATGTATATCTGTGCCAGCAAGGAGTAGGTATAAGTTTGGTATAACTTTGGCTTCCTCCTAGCTCTGCTTGATGGGTTGTTCATAGTCTTGACATCTAGGCCAGTTTTGCTTTCTTAAAATGCAGGTATGGGGAAAGGTGGCAGGTGTGTGGCTGGCAACTCTGTTTTGAGAAGGATTCTAGACATGGTTATGCCATGTAGAAATTGATATCACTGTGGAGTTATAGAAAATACTTAGTTTATTTTTTCAGGACAGACATGAAAAGAAATTGAGAAAGAAATTGCAGAGAACTTCATGGAACTGCACTGATGTATGATAAATTTTTGATGTGAGATTTAATGTTCCCATTGTCATGTCACTATTCTTCCTGAAAGGTTGCAAAACGTGGAAGAATATATAAACCAGTAACTGGAAATTAATGTGAGATGGCTTATGGTAAAGTTGCTTTTACAGCATGCAAACTAGATCACTTTGAGTGGTACTTTGATTTATCAAGCAAAATTTACAATATAGGTTATTTCTTGGGAGAAACCTGGGGCTATGCTAGTGTGTTATGGCCAGGGCTGTATGTGTTCACTGGATGATGATGCAGGAATATTTTTAGGCTCCTTGCTAAAATGACAGATGTTTTAAATTAGCTTCTAGAGCATTGCAAGAACTAATTTTTCTAAGGTCATCTTCCTTTTTAACTGGGGAAATCATATAAGCTGCAATGAAAATTTCACTTACATCACTTGGCAAATTGTCAAACTGTTATTGTCGCTATAGGCATTCAGGAGAATCTTTTTTAACCCACCCAAAACCCACAAATGAAACCACCCCCAAAAATGAACCTCGGACTCTCATCTTAAATATTTGTGTGTGTTATTCTATGTGATACATGCAGTTCTTACTTTCAAACTTCTAGAAGAGAACTGGATATTACTGCCTGTTTGTGGTGTCTTTATTTAAACAAATTCTTAGAGAATTACAGAAACTGAAACTATTTCCCCTTTTCACCGAACAGCTGTTCTTTGCTATATCCAATAGGCTAAGAAGATGGGAAATAGACCTTGTGGGGTGTTTATGTCTTGACTTTCGTGCAGTAGAAACAGACAAAACTAGTTATAAGGAGGGACCTCAGCCTGATCAGAAAGTTTTCCTCTTGCTCCTCCATGGAGAAAATACTCCCTAGCAGGAAGCTTACCTCGTACTGATCTACTTATCATGGCCAGATAAGAGTGCCTACCAGCAGGGTTAAAAACCAAAAGCAGCAGGAAATCCTAATCTCCTCCTGGATCTTCTAGCATTCCTAGAAGGCTTTTCAGTGGCCATATGTATGCCCTCTGACTTGTGTGTATCCCATTTCCTTTAAATTTCTAGACTTGTCTGCCTCTTGTTCCCTGTTGTTTAGTAGCGGGGAGTAAGCAGGAAGTAGCTCATTCTTTATTCAACTGATTTGCCTCTAATCTCCCAAAGAATATGGAAAGGAATATGGATGTGTAGAAGTTGTAATTATGAAACTGTCTTGGTAAGTTTTGCTTGAGAGCTTCCCTTACTTTGTGCTGCACTGGGCAGGTAGTGTCCTGCATGTAAGAGATGCCCAGTACGTAAGAAGTTTTACAGTCTCCTTACTGTGCTAAGCAGTGCAGTTTCTTTGGAGCCATGAAAAATGGCCACTTCAGTATTACTTAAAATCACAAGCTTTTATTTTATCTAGACTACTGCTTCCCAGTTAGTTAGGGAAAGATTATCTTAGGTAAGAATATCTGAAACCAAAGGAGGAATCCCTTTTTTCCACATATATATAGATTCCAGATAGATCTGGAATTCTATACAGATTTCTATTGGATAGAAATAAAATACAAGTTTCCCAGATAATTGTTTTGTATTAGCCTGAAGCTCATCAAGTGTTCTGTCTGAGATTAAGAATGTGTAGATACTACATCTGAAGGGGAAAAGAAAAAATTGTCTTCATTCACTTGGTATTGGAGTACCGGGAAGGTAGAGTCAAGTGATACTGTTGCTTAGGGCATGTAAAATTCAGTCTGAAGAAACCGGATCTTATTAAAACAAAAAGTAAGAAACAAGGCAAACAAAAAATCCCTTCAACCACAAAGCTGAAAAGAGAAAACCGCAAAACTCTTTTGGGGTTGTGTATTTTTGGTTATGAATGTGGCTTCATGTTTTGAGACTTTGCCTGTTAACTGGTATGTGAAATGTATTTTTTTCTTTGTGTACCATTCTAAGCCTTTGGTACAAATGAAAGAGTACTTCTGGAAAGGTTAATTAATAGCTTTGTAAATATGAAATGCTTTCCTTTGAACCTCAAGTGTTTTATAGTTAAACGGATTCCATGAGTGTGTGCTGTGTATTGGTGCTTAAAATACAGTAAAAAGGCCTTTTTCTTCTAGAAAGGTGGGGGACCTTCTTAATTGAGGCCTCATGAAAACTACCTGAAAACTTGTGTCCTGTCTGTGTGCTGAGGATACTGGAGAAATTAGTGTTTCTGCTTTGTGATTAACTTGGAAGAGAAATGTCTTTGGGGTTTAGGACAGCTTTGAGGTTAAAACTCCTCACAAAACATGAAAATGGGAATTGACTCATATCCTGTATGTTGCTTTCATTTGAAGTCTAAAGATCATAGTTAGCCATAGCAAAGAATGTCCATATATATGTGTGAGTGTATGTTTAAAAGTATTAAGTGCCTGTGTATCTACAATTGCTTCTTTGAGTAGTGAACCTAGATATATCCTCTTATACAAGAGACTTATGCTTGCCAGACTGAGTAAAGAAATCAGTTTTGTATGGCCTAATAAAACTAGGAGTAACTTACACGTGATGTGTTGTAACTTGAGCGGAAGTTGTTTCTTGGTTGCTCCTGACTGTTCAATATGAAATAGTAATATTGACTGTTAGAATGACCTTCATATTGAAGGCTCCCCTTCCCCGTTAACCTATTTTTCATGCATTCTTTAAAATTATATTCTCAGAAATATTTTTTTAAAATATACTGAACTATATGCAGATTGGTACAGCTGCAAGAGAAATAAATCTTGAAGGTCTTTGGAAATAAAATATTGCTCTTCATTTTCACCTTTGACAGCCTTTTGTCTGAACAATGTGTAATGCAAAGTTTATGCAAATTACTCCCTTTTGTGTGTGGTCCGTATCATGCATGTGTGCATAGAAATATTTGAGAAATATACAGAATGTTTCCTCAGTGCAGTAATTAGAACAAAGAGGCATACTGTCTGGTGGGTCATGTAACCCTGTGCCAAGAAACAGGGCATGAGATAGATTTATGATTGTGCTCCTGAGGCCTTGCCATGAAGTTTGAGTCAAAGCAACGCTGCAGAGTTGTGCACTAGGAGGGAGCATGGCTGTTAATGAGCCTGCAGTGGACATTAAGAGACATAAACCTATCAAAAACTGGAAGACCTTTAACCTTCTCTCTGCTCTTCCCTTCATTTCTTATGAATATCTATGTGACTGCTTGTGAGTGTAGTACTAATAGATTAAAAAAAAAAAAGTAGTCTAGGCTGATTTGGTGTTTAGACCAAATAAAATACTAGGGCCAACATACTTCTGTAAAGCCCCTCTGAAAAGGGCCAGACTGGGGAGACACAGTTTTTGGCCAGCAGTGAAAATCTGCAAAGAAATGGTGCTTCTGGAAGGCTGTACAGTGTTAGAATTGGCAAGTGCTGTGCCTACTTATGTCAAAAACCAGCAAATCTTTAAGCACCAGCTGATCACGGATTTTTAGGGCTATCTTGTCTAGCTTGAGCAAGCCTGGCAGCTCTTAACACAATCTAGTGTCTGGGTTAAAGACCTTCTGCTTTGTGGTGCCTTTCTGAATAGCTTATTCAGCTGGAAAACACAGTGAACAAAGGAGCTGGAAATATTTTGTCAAGTTAGTGATCTCACAGTTCAGAGAGCCAGCTACCAATTATAAAGACTTCTATTGTGTAACACAAGAGCTAGTGTACAGAAAACTCCAGATCTTACTCTATCTCTTTCTTTATTAGTTTCTGCATAATTATTTTTGCCTACAGGATGGTGTGAATATGGATGTGGGGTGTATTCTCAGTAATTAACTATGTTTTTCTACTAGACCACATTGACTAGCAAGATGGGAGTAACTTTTCCTAGTTTGAACTTGATTTCTGACTTGTGAGGATCAGGAGTGAGGGAAGCCTACGGAGTTCACAGTGATTAAGATTTTACAAGTGCGTGCAGCAAACCAGTAGTATTGTGTCTATGGAGAGTGGGAAGAGGGAATAGTGGTCTGCCTCCTCCAGTTAATTTAGCAGAGATGTTGGCAGGAAACAACATAAGGTTTTTAAAGCATTACTCTAACCAGAGTGTATAGTGGTCTCAAAACCAGACACAGCAACAGCAAACCTAGTGAAAGGAATTATCATTAGTACAAGTATTTTTTGTTGTTGCTAGTTAGCTATTTGTTTTCATTAAGCTTTACAATGAAATCTCAAGTATGACTTTTTTTTTTCTTTTGTGCAGGTTGGAAAAGAGACTGTGCAGACAACAGAAGACCAAATCTTGAAAAGGGATATGCCACCAGCGTTTATCAAGTAAACCCATTTTATTGTAAATCTTCAGTTGTAGGTACAGGAAACCTGTTCTGATGATAGATCATTGTTACTTATTTCTGCTTATTAGAGATTATAAAATGCTCTTTATGCTTGAATAGCTCTTCGGGGTCTCAAGGGTGAACTTTGTCAGGAACATTTCTGCCAACAGTGACTTTTCCTGTTACATTTTATATGTGCAGGTATATACCTAGGGTATTTCTCACTTAAAAAAAAATAACCAAACAACAACCCACAACAGAGTAACAATGTTACTTACCTGTGTGCTGTGGTAGTTTTGTGTAACAGTGTCAGATTAAATGTGTTGTTCTCAGTCTTTTCTATTAATTTCTCTGGTGGAAAAGTGTAAATTCGTCAGTATAGGCATCTGATGCATGATGTAACTGCCTGGAAATCTAAGACATTTGAAGAACAGTGACTAACACTCTTAATTCCATGGCTCCGTGTCAAGGACAACTGACTTTCTCCTGCTGCCTTAAGTGTTAAAAATCATACATCACTCCTTGTGAAATTGCCAAACTTCTTACTGCCAACTGACAAGCTTTTGCTGAAGTGACTTTGCCCTAAAACCTACCGAATGTGGTGACCATTCTACTAGTGTTGTCCAGTGTGTACAGAATGACTAAATAGTTAATGCATTCCCAAACACAAAACACAAAAGCATTGAGGCAACTAAGAAAATACTGAAATGGAGAACAGTGCTGATGTCTAAAGAGGAAATTTATGTTAAGACAAAATAATTTAAAAAATGCCTAGAACCAGGTGGTATTAGAATAAAAGTTCAAGAAGGAAATAGCTGAATTAGTAGTGCAGTACAGTCTCGCACTTGAGACCATCTGGTATGTCAGTCAAAGTGATTCTATTGTCTGAGGAACTTTATAGGGGAATCTGAGGAGCAGGAGGCCTATAGGTCTGACATTACCTGTATTAGAGAATAACAAATACCAAATACATATAATTTGTTTTGGTTGAGTTGATACTGTTTCTATGGAGGAAAATTCTGCCTTATAACTCTGCCAGTGTTCTTAGAAATATTACAGACAGGGATAAGGGTAATCCAGGTGATAAACTATACACCAAATTCTAAACTTTTTGGCAAAGTCTGAAGGCCTTTAGGAAATTGAAGTAGCCACAGGATAATAAGTAAATTTCATGTATGGAAAAGGGAAAATTTGAAGTGAAATGAAAAAATTACATGGTTAACCCTGACAACGGTAGGAGGTAATTGTGCTTTTCACCATGTTCACAACTGCTCTGTGAACCAGGATGAGCTGTGAGGCAAAACTACTTGCTGATTACCTGATGTCTTAAGCAGGGTAATGAGATTAATGGGTGATCCTGAGAAATTACAGCGGGACCTTATTAAACTGACTGACTTGATATTAAACGCAGACAAAATTATTTTGAAAGATCTGAAGCGATGAACATGTGGGAGAGCAGCAGGTCTAGTATCAGATAGGATAAATGACTCCGAACTGACCATTACCAATAGTGAGCTGTGATACAGGGGCAAGAGCATCCATTAGATCATTAATGGTCCAAAAAAAAGTAAATCGAATGTTAGGTTTATCAGCAAAGAATGGGAGACCAAAACATCACTCTGTGCTTGTCTCCCATGCTTTGAATACTGGAAGCACTTGAGGTATGTGAATTTTAGAAAGACTATTGTAGAACTGGAAAAAGCTCATAGGAGTGTGAGAACAAAGGTACTGAATTGCTGCTGCATGATGCAAAGCTGGAACTCTTCAGCCTGGAAAAGATGACAGTGGGGATTGAGGCTTGACAAAGGTCTGAAGAAGTATGAGTTGCATGGAGAAGATTGAAACTGGTACTTCTTATGCAAGATCTTGATGGGGGCATTGCTTTAAGCTAGTAGCTTGTAAACCAACAAAAGGGAGAGCTGCTTTGCACAGTAAGTCGTGTGCTGCTAAAATTTTTTTAATAGGTTTGGAGGTTAACAGATAAGTACTTAGAGGAATCCCCTGTGGGTTATCAAATAGACAAACTGCAGGAAGTTTCAGGAACTGAAAGTACTTGGAGGATGGGAGAGTGGCCAGAGGAAGTATAATACTTATGCTGTTCTTAACCTTCCTTGGGCATCTACTTGCAGCTACTTTTGGAGACCGGATACTGAGCTAAATGGACCTTTGATACAATCTACTACAGTATTTATTATTCTGGTGTGTGATCTGGTTTGGGTGCAGAGGGGTTTGATTTCTTTTATTAATTTGAATTTTCTTGAGGGCACTGTTTATGTATTGAAATGAGGCCAACACTTTTTACTTGCTTCTTGATGAGTTGTATACAGCCATGTAATTTTGAATTGTGCTCATTTTCAAAGATATGTAGAGTTTTGGTTAATTCCCAATTTCTTGTTCATCTAGACAAGTAAAGTATTCAGAAAAAGAGATTTTCTTATTGCTATACTGTATCCAGCCTTTGATCAACATTTAGCAGATTGTGAAGACTTAAATAGTTAAATTACTGTAGAAATGTGATGCAGACACATGCTGAATGCAAGAACTTTTTCTACAGCAGCTCATGACTGCTTGAATTGTGATGTAATGAAAAGTGGGAAACAAAGCTATCTGGCACAATAATGAAGACTTCACTTAGTACTTACTATCCTAGATGCACTAATGAGTTAGGAATGTTCAATCACCTTTCTGAATGATGATCTATTGCATTTGAGCTTTTTATTAATCTTGAGTTTATATCAAAAGGAACTACTACATGTTAACAGCTCCTTGTTAACACCTTGGAGTCACACCTATATTGTCACCCATACTTTGTTGTGGGGACAAGTGACAGTCACAGGTAAACTGCCGAACTGACCTTTTCCTGCATTAAAAGGCAGGCTTTGGGTGCAGGAAGTGAAACAGATGAGTGTTGTGGGGGTATTTTGATTTTATTTCTTTGCTTTCTTTCCCAAGAGGAGGGTTTTTTTTGTTTCTGAAACATTAAAAGAGGCATTCCTCTTTAAGGGAGTGCTCCAGCAGAACTGGTACTGGCATATGGATGATGGGATATGGAGCAGTGTACGTGTACTAAGGAGTAGTGTGTGTGTGTACTAGCACTGCATTCCCTGTTCACATTTTCTTCATTCAAAAAGACCATCAGTTTTGAGGGAACTGCTCTTGGAGAATGAGGGAGAAAATATGTCATGCATACCTTTGCATGCTACTGACATAAACCATGTTGGAACAACTGACCTAGAGTTAAAAAATGACATTCTTTTTCTTAATTGTCTTAATCATTAAGGAGTATGAGTAATGCATATAACTTACATCAGATGTTTTGCAGTGTATTCATATTACCTGCTATACTTCTCCTGTGAAGAAGGGAGAAGCTGTAATATCTTGGCAAAGAATAGGATACCACCTAATTTGTTTACACTGGAATAAAAATTCATCTGTGTGTAACTTGCGCATGCATACTCATTTAACAAATCAAGCAATAATGCTATTCTGTATTAACATTATTTGATAGCCAAGCGGGCTATATATATATATTCGGGTTTTTTTATAAAGCTGGTTTTTTTTTAGGTTGTGGTATAAAACAGGGACTGGACAATTCACCATAGCAATGAACTTCTATTCAAAACTTGTAAATGTTTTGATTCTTGTGATAGAGCAAGAGGCTCACTGCAGTGAATATTTTCAGTGTTGTTTTTTTTTTTGTGTTTGGTGTTTTTTAATTTATTTTTAATTTAAGTAGTTGAATTATTTTGTTTCTCAAATTCTAATCCTTTGTTTCCTAGCATGTATATTTTGCAGGGAATGGAGGGTGTTTGGTTTTTAAGCACCACTCTGCTTTTTTGTACATAGTGCACACTCCTGAGGTCTTTCAAATGCACTGGGAAGTTTATAAAAAATAGGCATTGTATAAGTAAAATGCAAGTTTACTGTTCAGAGGTTGAGTTCTAAAAGCTGTAAAAGAAAACTTTGAATCTTTAGGAACTTTATTTTCGTTGATTATAGTGACTTCTGGGTTAGTACACATTTACATGAATTCCTTTCTTTACAAATGAAAAAGCCAGTCTTGAGATAATTACTAGTATTAAACAGATGACCATGAAATTGAACTGTAGGAAATTAAGTATTTCTGACCCTATAGCTCTGAGCTGGCTGAATAGGTGATTCATTTAATCCCTTTCTTGGCAGGGTTGAAAAGAATAAATTTGAGAAGCAAGTGTGAAAATCTAATTTAGGGAAGTCGCTTAACTTTGATAATACAACTAAGTACATTGCATAATAATGAGCAGAGCCTTCCCGCTTTCTGCCTTGAAGTCCTCCTGTATTTTCTGACTCGGTTATGAGTTACCCCCGTCTGATGTGCTGAACAGATGTCTCACTAAAGAGCAAGTTATGGTAAGGTCAGCTGGCCCAATTCGATCTACTCTAGGGAGCCATTACCTGAAAACTTAACTTTCTGAAAAAAGTATGTTCTCCTGTAATGAGTGTTTTATTTCTAGTAATATTAAATTCAGATATAACCATTAAGTTGTGCCTTGTGCTAACAAGGAACATGGCGGGGGGGGGGGGGGGGGGGGAATGGGATATCTGTGTAACTTTCTAATATTACTTAACTGAAATTATGATTAGTGTGTCTAAGTGGTCAGTAGAAAATAAGCTATATGAAAAGCATGAAAAAGTTGCTAAAAGAGATAGTATTGTTGTAATTATAAAGGGTTTAATGTTTGTTGGAACCTTGTGTAACTTGAATGAGCACACTGCATAGAGCCTATGTATTAGACTACACTTACATTTCTGCCAAATAAATGGGAGAAAATGGAAGAAAGTCATAGTCAGTGTAGTCAGTAACTACAGTCATAAGTAGCCTAGCTAACATGGAAGTGAAGTCTGAATTTTGTATTTCTCTAAGGTGTCATAAAGTAATTACAATGAAAAATAAACCCAAAAGCCTTTCTGTGTTCCAGTTCTTGGTATTTTAAAATTGTTGTGTTAAATGGTTTGATGGAACCTAATTTCCGAGCTCATTTATGTATTGTATCTTTTCTGTTATTTTAATTACATATTGCATATTACATATCTTGCAAAACCTCCTCTCTGTTTTGAAGCCTGGAATTGCAAGCTGCATTTGAAATTCATGCCTTATCACTAAATCTTGTGGCTATTTAAAATGCTATTTCTGTCATGAGTGTTAACACTCTGAAGAGCTGGGCTTACAACTTCAACAAGCAGGGTGCAGTATCTTGGTTTTCTTCTGTTCTCTTGTCTTAACATGTAGCTATCATTTAATTTTTATTCATAGCAATTGCTTCTTGAATGACAATGTAAATGCAAGGCTGATAAAGGTTAACAATTACTTTGATTGTGAAGTTCTAAAACAATAATTGTTTCATCCCCTGCCCTTGTCATTAAGAATGAAGGGTGTTTTGCTGTGTTGGATCTCTCCTGAATGACACTGCGTTGACTTCTGTACATGTGATTCTTCAAACATTCCCTGCATTAGAAGACTGCATGACTTCTGAAAAACTGTCATATAGTCAACGGTTACTTTCTTGTTAAAAGAAATACAATAAGTACTCTTGCTTTTCAATCTCTAAAGGTGTAGAATGGAGCTTGCTTGCAGCACATTAAGTAGTAAAGTTAAAAACAAATCCAGTGTTTTCTCAGCGTTGTCATGTAGATAGAAACTGATCAGCAAGTTTTGTTTGATGACTTTCCTCAGAGTGGAGAATGCCTGCACCAAACTTGTTCGGGCAGCCCAGATGCTACAAGCAGATCCTTATTCAGTGCCAGCTCGTGACTATCTAATTGATGGATCAAGAGGCATCCTTTCTGGAACGTCAGACTTGCTTCTGACATTTGATGAAGCAGAGGTAGGAATCCCAAGATGACTGACATACGTATCTGCGCAATAGCATTATTAATTCAAACGCCAACCTAACTGAATTAGCTAATCTAAACTATTGAGTAGATGAATGTGGTTTTGATTGTTTTAGCTTGATTGGAAGCATATTTTGCCTTCCTTTCTGTCAGAAGGAGCTTAGGCTTGTTAGTCTGTTTTGTTAAGAGCATCTTTGTATGATAGAATGTTTAGGCATGCCTGTGATTGTTCTTCAGAAAGGTTAGATCCCATCAACCCTGTCTGACATCTTCCTGACACTTTTCTGTATTCTCCTTACCATACCCATAACTGAGCCTTATATTTTCTGTATCCTTTCACTGAAAAACCTTAGGCCACTTCCAGACATCTCTGTCTGACTCATTAGCTGTGGCAATTTAATTGGCCTTGGGCATGGGAGGTTATACAAATTCAGACTGTCTGGCGGGTCAGCCAGATGATGTGTTCAGATAGATGTAACAGTTACTGTATTTTGGCTGCTACGTAAGTCAAAAAGTAGTTAGAGGTGCTTTTTGTCCATTTTCATCTGGACAAAAAAGCCAGAGTTGCAAGGAAACTTAAAAAGGGAGTTTTGTGTGTCTTACATTTGAATTTTTTTTTGTTACAAATTTTACTTATTATTGTAAGCCTCTTTCTGGGAATGTGGAGTCTTGCTCATTTCTAAATATCAAATATTGTGCTATTATGGGGACATTAAGCTCACACTGTTAGAAATTCTGATGTTAAATGTAAATTTTACCCATACAACAGTCTGCTAATCTATGAAATTGTGTTACTCTTCCTGCTGTTCTGAGTGGTTTCACTTGGCATCCTTGTGCCTCATTCAATCAGCTCATGGTAGTGTTAGCATATTCCTCTGAAATGAGGAGAATGCTATGGGATTTCTCTGTGGCACTTGTGATTTTTCATTATTTAAAGTGGTTTTTAACAGCTACTGTGGTGTGTTACAGGACAGAATTGCAAGGAAGTTAATAGCTGTTAGTCTCCCTGCTTCCAGTGTTTATGTAATGAGTTGACTTCTATGGAGTCAATGCTTCATTGAATTAGTCTGACAAGTGTCTGTTAATCAAAAGAAGAATGCTAATTCGGAATGATTGACTTTTTACAAATAAATGTCTCTATCCTACTATGCTTCAAGATAAACTAACATTGGGACAAAACTGGAAAGGAGTTTTCCAGGAAACTGATCTGTTCTAGGGACTGAACACTGAATGTGGTTGATGTGATTTAAATGTTAACTGTCTCATTCTTCAATGAGAATTGTTCATGGTGTTGTCAGAAATAATGTGGTTCAGGAGGTTAGGATATTACCCAACAGAGAATTCTGTTTCGGAATCAAGTATGAACTGAAGAAGTTAAGCTAAGGCAGATGTTCAGAGGTAAATGAAGTACATTTTTCTGGAAAGCTTAAAATGTTGGATCTACCTTTCCCACTGGAATGCTGGATAATGTTTTATCCATATGCAAAGCTGTATGGTGAATAATATTTCCCCTGAAAGTTTTTAGTCTGCTTTCTGTGTAGTTTTGCTTTGTAATATAAGTTAGGGGTTTCTTTTATTGATGAAATTGCAATGAGAAACTTCAAGCTTGCCAGCATACTTAAATGCACTTCCTTCTCACTTCCATTATCAATGCTACCCTTAATTTATCATACAAAATGCAAACACTGGAAGTAGGATTTATCATTTCTGAGTAGTAGAATGATGTTTAAATACTGTCTTTGTCAGTGCAGCATTCTTGAATAATGGCATTTTGGGTAACTTAGTAAGTATCCCAGACCTTTGTGGTTGCCCATAAGTCACGTTATCAAATGCTATACCTATGCTGTTCTAGCAACAGGCTTTCATTTCTAATTCAAGTGTAACCTAGCTTCATCTAAGAAATGCTGGTATGTTCTTTTTTTAGGTCCGTAAAATCATCCGTGTCTGCAAAGGAATATTGGAATATCTGACTGTGGCGGAAGTAGTAGAGACAATGGAGGATTTGGTGACTTACACAAAGAATCTAGGGCCAGGTTTGGTTTACTACAGCCAATCATAAATATACTTACTGTATTTTCTACTACCTTTTTTCCCCCCAGCATCTTCCTTACCCTTGTTTTGAGTGTTTGGACAATGAGAAAGCGGTTGCTTAGAATGTGCCTGTTGGAAAGAGTTCTAAGCTAGATGGTTAATGATGACTATTTCTGATTCACATTCTCTTAAGAATGCAGAAGAGTTTGCAAATGGCAAGTGTAGTTCATATATTGTATGTACTACACAGATTACATGTAGTTTCCCTACACAGTATCAGGAAAGTAAGCATGTATTAGTAAAACAAAACCAAAAAACAAACAAAAGAGAAAGCTTTGTAATTAAGCACCCACAGCCACTAAACTGATAAAATGTCTGTACTGAGATTTTTAAGCCTAGTTTGCTAGAGTAGTATAAGCTACATGTCATATATTAGCATTTTAATGAGGTTGCAGAAATAGCTGTCCTGCAGTATAGTACAAAAGCTCAGCTGTTACAGAAATGCTTTTTGTTCATTATTTGGTGCTTCTTCACTACTTGTTACTTCACTGTGTTAACTCACACTTGCTCTGGTAGAAGTGCAATTGGTCAGTGCAGATTGGTCCGTGAAGCACTAGGTTGTTGTAGAGGAAACCTACCATTAATCTCAGTCATTTGGCACTCTAAATGCTTTAATTTCCACAAGCATAAAGAAGTTTAGGTATATAACAAAAGTATTCTATGAAATCTAGATGTTGTGGTGGTAATGTAGGAAGACATTGGAAATAAAATTGCACTGAAGAGTGCCTTTATGTACACAGAACAGGAATCTGGTTAGTACTTTACATATATAAGTAAGAATACATATATAGTGTAAAATAAATGAAATGGCTAGGAGCTCTCATGTCACAGAGCATGTTTGTAGGTTATCCCGTTTTTATTTAATATGTATATATTTTACCATGTTTCCAGATGTGAAAATGTTAAGTTCCACATGAAGGTATAGCGTTCTCTAAACTTTTTTTGTGTCCCATAAGAAGTTACCTTCGACTAAATAGATTTTGCCTCATTTTGAATAGGAAAAGATGTAGCAAAAAGAGCAATCTTCTCTCTCCATGAAACTTGTTCACTAAACCAGTCATTTTGGGTATTTTCTTATTTTATTCCTGGGATTTAAAATCAGGAATTTTGAAGAGGTCCATTCTACTGTGTGTACTGACTAGGTTTTGGGTCAGTGCTTCTTTGAAGCATCTGGAATGTGCTTTTAAATAACAGCTGCTATTATAAAGATTAAATTTTAAGCATCAGTATAGTTGTTGTAACTCATTACACTGTGTTCTTGTTCAGAAAGCTCAACTGTTGCAAATTAGACTTAGTCATAAAGAAAGAAATGTAATACTATGTTCTGTTACTTTTAATCTTTAGGAATGACAAAGATGGCCAAAATGATTGATGAGAGACAACAGGAATTAACTCATCAGGAACACAGAGTTATGCTGGTAAATTCCATGAATACCGTGAAAGAGCTATTGCCAGTACTTATTTCAGGTATTTTTGGCTTTAATTTTTAATATTACTCTGAATTGCTATCTATTCTGAATTGGAGTTCCAATGTCTTATTAAAAATAACAGGCCTGACATTGTTTCTGTACTTCCTGCAAATAACTCTCCTTCTCTTGTATTAAACCTACAATCTCTTTGTGATAAAATGGTTCACACAAAAGAAAATGTGCTCTCTCTCTATAAATGCAGCAGGAGGTCACCTTGAGCATTGATTGTACCTTGTATGTACCTTTTTTTAATCAGTGGTGTTTTCACAGCTATGAAGATTTTTGTAACCACAAAAAATTCTAAAAGTCAGGGAATAGAAGAGGCCTTGAAAAATCGCAATTTCACTGTAGAGAAAATGAGTGCCGAGATAAATGAAATAATCCGTGTATTACAACTCACTTCCTGGGATGAAGATGCTTGGGCGAGCAAGGTAGATTTCATACCTATGTTGATATATCGAAGTCTTAATTTTTATTTACTATGTTATATACTTATAAACTTGTGTTTTAGAGACTTGACATACTTATTTGTGCATCAGTCTTGTAATACTATGTAATCACATCGTAAGATATCTTCACGGTTGAAGAACATCTTCAGAGATGCTTGTGTTAATGTATCTTTCCAAATTAGCTTTCTCTCAGTAAGCTAAGTTAAAGGAATGTGGCATTTGAAGGCGGCTCAGTGATTTACTGCAACTGAATGGTCAAATAGAAGACCTAGATTTGTTCATGGTTTAGTTTTGGCATGACTAGGAAATCCTGGAATATAGCATATTCTTCTCAGGGAGGGATTTTTTTTTATGTACGGCTACCCTACGTAATCATATTTGGCACAGGAAAGTAATATACAAAAGTTATTGTTCTATACATTAAACTAGTCTTGTAGCTAGGCATTCATAAGTGAGATTACCTGAGATTTTTCTCCTATATGCTACTAGAAAAGATAGGCTGCTGCCATATTTCTTGTGCATATTTCTCTGAAGTTGAGAAAATTTAGTTAATTTTTGTGGATCCCTCCTTGAACAGCTCCCCCTTTTCTCCCTGCCCCATTTTTAGCCCAGACATAGGAGTAAATTTCAAGTGTTTGCCCAGTTGGAAAGAAATATATTTTAGACTGAACAGCCTTTCTGGATAAGTATGTTGTTTGTGAAGCTTGGCATATGGGCAGTATTGGTTCCTTACAACTCAGTGTTGTGATACCAGCTGAAGATACTGCAATGTCTAGACATAATGCAGGTCTGACAGAAGGGTGGGCTTGCAAATAAATGTAGCTGTGTAACTGAAATTCTGCCATTTTTTTTTGAGTACTTTAAAGTTAATTGCTGAAGGGATTATTTTTTTAGGTTAGTGCTAAGAACTATAAGTAACTGTAAATACATTTAAAGAAAATATTGAGATCTGAAGCCAGACTTATTAACAAGTGAAATCTTGCAGAAAATCTAACAGCGATGTCATTTAGGCATTAAAATCACTTTGACCTACATTATTTGGCACTTGACCCTTAGTTTGCCTCTAGAGTTATTTTGTCACTATCACTTCTTTATTATGACTACTTTATGCATCTTTGTTTTTGTTCTCCTGTTTCTTACCCTTTTCTCACCTTTAGAAGGTAAGATTTCTTCCACACCCTACACCTCTACCTCATACTAAACCCAAAAAAGCATGATTTTGTGTTGTGTGCAGACTGTGTGCTGTGCAACTTTTTATTTGTGTGCCAGCTGTGACACCATACTTGGGTATGGACACACAGAAGTTTTAAAGGAATCTTGATAGTTCTGGCTAGCTATATGTATATTTGGCTGTCACTAAGAGAATGGCAATTGCAAGATGAGCTGCATCAAAACAGTCTTTCTGAGTCTGATTAGTAAGACCAAGATTGTAGCGCACATTCTTTGCTGAATGCTTTTATGTTAATTTATGCTACTAGTCTCTGTAGCTACAAATAAAGGGTCCAGTCATTCAGGAATAAACATTCTGCATGCCCAGAAAGCTTTATTAATTCAGGGATTTTGTCCATTCCATAGTACTTCACCAGCAGCCTTCCTTTGGTTCAGATGGCTCATGTTATTCAGGTCTAGGCCTAAAACTGTAGTTTTGTATATGCATTTTTTCAGTTCAGTTTTATTTTTGGATTTAGGAATTTTATGAAATACAAATACAATTTTTATTTTATGTAGCAAATGTGGAAATTTATGTGTGGAAAAAAATAAAAATTGACCATTGCAAAAAGTTAGCAATTTAGTCTTAGGAAATTTTCCTCCTCTTGCTAGCAAGGCAGATAAATGAAGGATTTTATTAAGAAAATAGTAGGTGTGTTAGCAGTGTTTCCAAATGGAAAATGTTGATCCTTATGCGTAATTCATGAGTATGTTGCATGGACTAGTATAAACAAAGTATCTTTCTGTTCTGTCTTGAGAACTACTTAATTGTACATTGTTTTTTAATTAAGGTATGCTGACAACCTGGAACTCTAGCACTGGGCATTAACCAAACAGTTATGACAAAGAATTTGAATTGAAAAATGCAGTGGAATGAAAAAGCGGGAACTAATTTTGCTAATGGCCACCTACTACAGACCTTTTCCTGTGTTTGCATATATATCTAACGGGTTGACTTACTTAGTGTTTTTCTGGGAGGGAAAGGGAGGAGCTGTTTAAGTCTACCTGAGATTATTGTTGCATTCGTTTTGTGCCTGGCAGACAAGGGAAAGATATATTCTCCATGCTTTTCTGGAGTAAAGGAAGGTGTATTTGGGGATTCACAGACCTGAATTTTTACCCATGTGGTATATGCTGTTGTTGATGATAGAGTTTATTTTATGTTTATTATTCTATCTCGAACTGTTTATGCATTGAAGTATCACAAAATATAAGTAGAGACATTGGAGAATGAGCAAGTGTGTGGGGCCAGAGTTGCAGGCTTTTTTGTAAAATATTTCATTGGTCTTTCTAGACTCTGAAATGCACATTGCTGTTACTGGATTGCAGTAATCTCTGCTTGCACCAACACTGGACTTCTTAAAAATAGTATGCCTATTTAGATTTGAAATGCTGAGCAAATGCCAATTTCTGACAGAAGCTTGGAGGAAAAAAGTATCTGTATTTATTTCTTCCATTCATAGCTTTGTACCTTTTTTCCTGTAACTTTTCATTACAGAGGAGTTTAGCTTTCTGTTGTATATTCTGAGGGTTTATTTTTAAATAAACTTGTAAGTAATACTCATTTAAACATCTTGCATTTCCGTAGAAATGGAGGGAGTTAAAAGTTGTAAGGAGCTGAGAAGTATCTAATATCTTCCAGGATTGAACCCTGGGTGGTGACGAAGCTATCTCCTCTGCCAGAAGGCTGGCTTTGCCTATTTCCTTCAACATTGCCTTCTTTGGTAATGAAATGCAGATATTGCTAGACTAGACCACTTTATTGAGTCAGAGGTTGTGTTTTATATTCAGCAAGGGATCATGTAGGATTTATTTGGCTCCTTTTTGAAGCAATGCAAATACTACCTGCTCCATGAATAATCTCAAAATTCATGGTAGTGGCCAAAGTTGTGCAGATGAGTATCTTGAATAAGTGCTCATTTGCTTTAGGAACTGATTTGCAAAAAGCCAACTTGCTCTTTTCCCTTCAGACAATGTTGCCTTAGTTGTTCAACCTAAGTTAAGGAAGTTCTTTATCTCTTCTGAAAAGGTGGCAGTGCTGCTTTTGTTAATGAAATTCCTCTTGCCAACAAGGCAACTGTGGGGAGAGGAGGGAAAGAATCCTTTTTACTGATAAAACTACTTTATATGAAACTTCTTGCAAGATAGCTGTAGATTTCCTTCTTTTCTTGCTTGCAACTGATATTCTGCTGGCAAACACCAAAAAGTAAATTTTTAAACATATTTAGCTGTTTAGGAAGGAAGGAGGCATTTAAACAGCTCCAGAAATCAGGAATATCAGGACACTTTCAAACAGTAAGATATTAAGCAAGTTGCTTTATTTAAATTATTTCTACTTTTGTCTTCCTACTTAATATGAATTGGTGGACAAGTCCAGACATTTCAGGATTGCTACACCTTTGTTGCTTGCCAAGTATCTGACACCAGACGCAGCTGTGGCAGAAACAGAAATGCAGTACCAACACACCTAGTTAAGATGTATTCTCATTTCCTATTGAAAAATTACTTTTCTGATTGTAATGAAAACTCCTTAGCAGACTAAAGCTGAGAGGGATTCCTTGCCATGGCGTTTTGAGCTTGTGGATGGGAAATCTGTGCTGTAAGAGCAGTTGTCCTGGAACTCTTCAACTCCTACACTAGGATTTTACCAGACTTTTTTTAAATAGGAAAAAGGGACAGTATTTTGCAAACTTGAGTGTAGAGCCAAACAGCATAGCAAGATTTACACTGCAGAGCAATCCAGTTATACAGCCTTCATATGGCTGGGCAGATGGATCTTGTTATAGCTTGTGTAGCGTTAGAAATTACAGCGTCATGAGTCTAGAAGCTAAAATATCCTTGATTTTGTCCCCTGATATAAAACTTTAGATTCAGAGGCTTCTGTTTAATGTTGCTGAAACTGCAGCTCTGCAGGCAGCTGAGGCAACGCAAAAGCCTGTGTTAGTAAAAAAGGGAGGGCGAAGGTAGTTTTCCAGCAGTCCTTTTCTCAGCCATCCCACACCTATCAATTCATCAACACACTAAGCAACATCTACTGCCTTTTGAAAAATAAAGTTAGTTCTTTGTTTCAAATGATTTCTGGGTAGACAGGCCTACAGCAGACCAGAAAACTGTAACACCTACGTTGGTTGCTAGCAAGGGTTGTATACACATTTGAATACTTAAGTGTTTATTTGCTTGTCTCCTATCGTATATTAAATGCACAGTTCTCATTCTACAGAGATGACTTCTAAAAGAACATGCCCACCTCCCACCCCTAGCTGTATATCCTCCCCTTTTGAAGTTTTTCAAACAGGCCTTGATCTAAGCTCTGGGACCCAGTTTCCAGATTTGAGAACCAATCATCCAGGTGAAAATGATTCGGCTTTTTGTGCTGTTTCTCTTTCAGGCTGTCATTCAGCAGTCTAACCAGTAGACCTTTTAGGAAGCTGGCTGCTGAATTATATTATAGCACCTTATGAATAGCTGACAGATTATCCAGCTGCCTGAATAGAAATGCCAAAATGTTTACAGTGATGTATCTTTGAGGCTAAGCATGCAGAATGAACAGCTCCACAAAAATGTGGCAGTTCTTTAGCGTTGTCAGGAAATCACATGCTATACCAGATACTGATCATCGATGCTTGTAGGCTTCTCTCTCTAAGAGCTGGACCTGGACAGTCCAATTCAGTTAATAGTGTGAGAGTCAGGCTTCTTTTCATTGTCTGTATACTAACTGTGGAATATATGCATTTTGAATTATTTCCATGATGTATGGTAGAAAGGTATTTTGGCTTTTCCCCAACTTTCTACTTAAGGTACTTACAACTCTTTCACTGTCTTTCCATTTGTAAGATAGAAAACTTCTGGCCTCTAGTGGAGAGATTACACATGTACAATTAACAGAGTACGCAGACAAATGAGAACTGTATGGTTTTATCTCCTCTAGTGAAAAACATATTGGATAATAGCAGCGTAATAGTCAAAGCAGCAGTTTCTCTGATGCTCCTGAAAGAGGAGTTCTGAGTTTAAAGCAAGCACATGTGAATACTTGTGTCTGTCTCCTAAGACATTAAACTCCGTATTTGGGAATCCCAGGAATTAGCTGGCAGTCTGTTTTTCTGCAAAAAGCCAACTGTTTGGCTTTAAGCAGCAGAACAGGTTGAAAAATGCAGATGTGCAGCCTCTTACACTGAAGTAAGTAGTTAAAATTCACTGGCCAATTGCCATTTTTGAAGTTACTCTAATTTGTTACAATGTTATCTGCCTTAATGTACATTAAGGAAAAATGTGGAACTAACTCAAAGATGTGTGTATATTAGAATTCTGACATTAAAAATTAAACCACCAGTAAATAAAGGAACAAAAAAAAATCACTAAAATTGCATGTATATTTTCTGCATTTTGAGTGAGATGAAAATGTCTGTCTTAATTGGAAAGAAGTGACTACAACCTGCTGGTTTGAAAGTGAGTTTTGAACTGCTTATGTGGGTGTGTTTCTGTAAGTAAACTCTGCCTCATAGAACTTCTGTCTGCTTTAGTTATGTTGGCCGTTTGTGCTTTGATTTTCTTTTTTGAGAATCATTTTTGTGATTTTTCTTTTGTGAAGGACACTGAAGCCATGAAAAGAGCTTTAGCCTTAATAGACTCAAAGATGAATCAGGCAAAAGGCTGGCTGAGAGATCCAAATGCACCTCCAGGTAATAGTAAAAAACAAACAACACCCCCCCCCCCCCCCAAAGTATGTTAATTTTAAAAGGTCTGATAATTCTGTTGGTTTAGACAAAATTGCCTTGAAGCGTTAGTAACCCATACATAGTGGATCAGTCTGAAAGAACTTGTATTTCTTTCTTTGGATCCTGGAGATTAAACAAGTTGTATCTAATAATTCGGAAAGCTTTGCCTCTTTTCAGTTGTCTGATTAATACACTCTCTATAGCTAACATACTTTCTTTACATTCCACTAATAAAAACAAAATCCCATACATTTCTTTGAGCAGTATTTAACTGCAGTGGTTGCCAATAGCTAAAGTCCCTCCTTTTATGTTTTCAAATTTGTGTAACTTAACGTTTGCGCAACAGAATCTCTTTAAGCTTTTTGTAAGCCTTAACTTTTTTTTAACATGAAAATCTGCCATAGATAATGTAACTACAGTCATCTTTACTTCACCTTTAAAACATAGACGCTTTGCCTTCGTATGCATCTTTAAAGCAAATGAAAGCAGGTAGAGGCTGGTTCCATTTGGAAAGACTTCCTCTGAAATCGAAGCCAAAATAATACAGTTGTAAAAGTTGGAAGTGAATTGTTGTCTGTGGAGTTCCTGCTAACACTGCTTCTGACCTCACTCTCCTTGCAACACTCAATTCCAGAAACCTCAGTTATTTTCATAGCCTTCTGTCACTGACACCAACAGTTAATGAAATAAACTATTAAACATTCAGTAGCTAAGGACAGATGCAAAGATAGCTGTGGAACTTACTGTAAATTGGATTTTACAGGGTATATTACTTAGGGGATCAGGGTGGGTTGCAAGTAAAAGGAATGTTGTTCTTGCATCTTCTTTAACTAAAATCAAGTCAGATTTTAAACTGGGCAAATTTAAGTCTACATGAATCTTGCTGTATTGTTCTTTTCCTTATCGGCATGAATTACAGATTCTGTAAATGAAGTGTTTATGAAGAAATTAAGCTACAATAGCAGAATGATGATATGAATTGAAATACAATGCACATGATGCACATTAAGGTTATGCTATGTTGTTTCAGAAATACTGTCCCATTCTAATTATCACATTTGGTGTATATAATAGTTTTTGATTAATGTATTTTCATGGCTGAACCTAATGCAGTTGATGTGGTCAAACATGATGAGATTAGCAGTTTACTCATACATGTCAAGGAATGTCTTGCTTATTTTACTAACTGACTGCATATTAGGGGATGCTGGTGAGCAAGCAATAAGGCAGATCCTTGATGAAGCTGGAAAAGCAGGAGAACTGTGTGCAGGCAAAGAACGCAGAGAGATTCTGGGAACATGCAAAACTCTGGGCCAGATGACGGATCAGCTGGCTGACCTTCGAGCAAGGTAAATCTTTTACTTCTAATGGACAGTTTTCCAGTACTATTAAGACAGTTTTTCTGAACTTGCAGTTGTGTCATTTCTTAACCTGTGGGAGAGCAGGCCAGTAGTTGTATTTTGCCTCTTTTACTTCAGTGTCTTCTGATAAGAATAATGTGTTTTAATATGTGAAATGTTAACTATATAACATAATAAGTAAAACTGCTCAGGTAAATAGTTGTTTGCCAGAAAGTAGGAAGTATGATGTTCCTTTGTGTAGGCATAAAGATGATGAGCTAGGAAATAACTGTTCTGTGCAGTTTGAACACTGTAATCCAGTTTCCCTTGAGCATAATGTTTTTTTTTGGTTGCTTATTAATGTTGTAAATCATAAAGCTAGAATGCTGTAACATTGCTTGCTTTATTTTGGTGCAACACTCCTTCCCACCTCCTAAAAATACCCCAGAAAGCTATTCATTGCGATCCGTTAGGGATACTGGGAATAGTTTGGTGGTATAATTATTTTTCTTTTAAATATTCATGTGTCTTCCAGATTGGCTTTTAGGTAAAATATATGTCCCTTCTGAGTCAAGGCCCTAATGAAGTTCAGGAAGTGAGCAAATCCAATTTGGAGAACTGTGTTTTGAGTTACTTCAAGAACAAATTCTCTGCCATCACTTTAAATCCGTAGATTGCCAGGCTCTGAAGTGTTGCCATGGTACATACACAAGCTTGGAGAAGTTCTATAACTTATTTCTGTTAAGGGTTGTTAGTTATGTATATCAGCTGTAATAGTGGTAATGGATGAGAAGCTGGTTTTAGTTCATCTTCACTTGGGTTTCCTACTGATTGACCTGAGTAAACACAAGAGCTTCTTTGTACCAGATTCTGCACAGAGCGTTAGAAATTAGGCTAAACTCTTACTCTTCTTGTAAAGTAGTGGCTAGTTTGTTTTGTGTGAATTTTTTTTTGGAGGTGAAGGAAGAGACAGGATAAGATTTACTAACAAATGAGTTAATTTATATGCTGGTTTTAATATGTAAATAATTTCAATTCAGCCTGTGAGAAATAAGGTATAAAGAAACATATCTTGAGACTCTGGCCCATGTAGATACACCTTAGCATCTTGGTAGCATGCTTGTCATCCTTCCACTTACTATGAGCTTTTCAAAGTGAACAGTCTGATAAAGTTAACATGCCTAAAAAGCCTTCCAGTAGCCAGATTGTTTTGGAATGAGTATGACATTTGTTATGCAAAACTGATGTTCTCAGGCATATGTATTTGAAGTAAGGTTTCTGTCCAGCTTGTTATCCCTAAGCATTTGGATTAACCATGGTAGTGCTGCTAATTGTTTCCTGCAGTATTGCTATCATCCTTTTTACTGTTTTAAAAGTCTTGCCAACAGCCTGTAACCTGTAATCTACTTTGTCAACATGATTGAGGCAACTATGACATCTCATTTTCACTTACAGACTTGCTGTCCTCACTTAGGTAATGTCGCGATGTAACTCCTGCAGGTTCTGACTTACTTTCAGCAATCCATAAACGAGGAGATACCAGGCCTTGCCCTGGGTATTTTAATGGAACTGTACCCTCAAATAGCCTTACTTTGTGACATGTAAAAGATACTAATTCTTCTGAGGAATTCTGGGAAGGGGAAAATATCTCTTCTTGTTGTGGTGCTCCTTCTCATTTACTTTTGTTTTCCCAGGGGAAAAAAAAACAATCTGATTAAACACTGTATCTCTTGCAATAATTACTGGGAATGCTCTTAAAAGTTTTTGTTTAGAAAAGAGCTTTGCTCAGTCCTGAGCTGAGTCTCTGATGCTCTTTTTGTCTTGGGCAGAGGCCAGGGTGCTACACCCATGGCTATGCAGAAAGCACAGCAGGTGTCACAAGGTCTGGATTTGCTCACTGCGAAAGTGGAGAATGCAGCCCGCAAACTGGAGGCCATGACAAACTCTAAGCAGGCAATTGCTAAGAAGATTGATGCTGCTCAGGTACTACTAATGATTTAATAAATCCTTTAGAACATAATTACATTACTGCTGTTAGAGCTGTTGTACTGAACTATTGACGTTTCCAAGCACAACACAGGCACTTGTTAGGAAGAGCATATAGGGGTGTTGGTTTTTTGAAGAAAAATCTTATATTCAGTAGTTTACAGGGTGCTGCAAGTTTTGCTCCAGCTTATGACCTTTCTTCATAAATTAGCATTGCTGAAAGTTTCAAGGTTGTGAAATTAATATGAGGAAACACCCAAAATTTGAACTTAGACTGATCTTATTAGAGAAAAGAGTAGAGGTGTTTCAGACTGCATGGATTTACCTGTGGGTAAAACCAGCCCTTTATTTGGACTCCGTTTTTGTGTGGAGTTCAGGATTTATAATTTCATATTGAAGTTGATCCTTTGTTATTGTAACTCTTAATCTCATTCTCCCTTCTCCTTCTCCATCACCCAGTACTGATGATGGTCATCAAATTATGAACCTTTTATATGTACCTTATCTGAATGTGTATGTATGTATAATCATATAAAGGTACATAAATATTGTATATGTTGAATGAGATTATGATTAGACTTGTTAGGAAGAGCACTGTAAAGAGTGCCACCCTGTGCACAAGAGCATCTGTTTTCTTTTTGAAAGCCAGATAATGAGTCTGTAAAGCCAATAGTTTAATTTTACTTCTGAAAATGCTGCTGCAAATGTTGAGGAAGGAATGTAAAATCTTTTTTGACATCTTTTTCAAAACAGAGAATCTGCCAGATAATAGAACAACTTCATGGTCTAATAAAGAGAAACTGCTTTTGGAAAGTATTTTCTGTTAAATACAGTTTTGAAAGCTGTACTGGTATTTCTTTTTTACAAGAAATTGTTTAAAGTCTGTATAGAAATAGCATTACTGTTTATCTTCACTCATACATAAATTCCTTCTATTAAGAACTGGCTTGCAGATCCCAATGGGGGCAATGAAGGAGAAGAACATATTCGGGGAATTATGGCTGAAGCAAGGAAAGTTGCAGAATTATGTGAGGAGCCTAAAGAAAGAGATGATATCCTTCGTTCCTTGGGTGAAATCTCTGCTTTGACAGCCAAGCTGTCAGATCTGCGACGACAGTATGTATTAGTTTTATCACAATTGGTTTATTTGAATGATCTTAATTTGCAGTTCAAAGTGTTGAACAAAATCAGAATATTGATTGGGGAATGTGGTTTCCTCCAAGAACTGTGAATGGACATCTTATACTTCTGTGTTTCTATATTGCATTTAGTAAAAATTGAATGCCAAGAATTGCAGTGTGGGGCAAGTAGCTAACTTTTAATATCCTTTTAAAAATGTAGTTTATAAAATATGGATCTGTTTTGGAGCTTCAACCTTATGATTTCTACCCCAAAGCCCAGCTTGCACTATCTTCCTCAAAACCAAAACCCAACCTCCCCTCTCCCCCCTACTCTCCAAAAAAAACCAACCCAACAAACCCAACAAAAATACAATGTGTAACTAGATTTGTATTACATAAGAAATATTTTCTTTCTACTACCTATGGAATATTTAAATACCTATGGAATATTTAACAGGCAGACTGGAGCCAAAAGTGAGATCCTTTGTACTGTCAAGACACTTCAAAGAAAGGAGAGAATGTGCCATTTTGTTTATACATACTAATGTCATCACTAAGTTGCAAGGTGAAATAGCTACCACTTCAATCAGTGTCGTTGTTCTAAGCTGTAACTGCAAAATATATAAAAGATTTTCATAAATTAGATTTCTGCATCAGTTTTGCAAAGAGGGTGCTTGAGAATGGGAGAGGAGAAACAGTTACTGTATAAACTGTGATCTTTATTTATGACCTGCTGCACTATATACAGGAATATTTTTCTTTTTTCGTGTGTTAGACACTTTAATCAAGTTTTCCTTGAGATTTAGCTGCTGCAGGTCTTAATGTGCTATCTTTTTTCAAGTTTATATACAGCCTTGGTCCTGCTGCTGCTTACTTTTCTGCTCATAATCTGTGTGGCATTATTGGAGTTGCTCATAAGACAGCCATGTGGGATATCAAGGTCATTCATCAGTATTACCAATGACAGTAGCACACCTTCCCCCCACCTCAGTGCTGTGTCGAGCATGTGTAATATCCAGGTTCCATAGCGGGGCAATGTGAGGTGGGGATTTATGGATGACAGATCTGCATTATTTGCTCTGAGACTTGAGTGTCAAATTTAACCTTATTTAAAAAGATGAAGTACGTTTCATTGTGTGTTCCTGCTGAATTTGGGACTAGCTGTAAATGATCTTTATGTGACTATGCTTTTTTTGATCCTTAGTGGGAAAGGTGACTCTCCTGAGGCCCGTGCATTGGCTAAGCAAATAGCTACATCACTTCAGAATTTACAATCCAAAACAAACAGGGCTGTAGCAAATACTAGGCCAGTTAAAGCAGCTGTCCATTTGGAGGGCAAGATTGAGCAAGCTCAAAGGTGGATAGACAATCCTACAGTTGCTGATCGGGGAGTAGGTAAGTGTTTCCATGTACTCGTCCCACCACAGTTTCATGGTTAAACGTGTTAGGAATTTTTAGGACTGAAACTACTGCTCCTGAGATACTGAGGATTCGTGGAATCTCTTCACTGATGTGGAGACCTGCAGTCTGTGGATGGACATGTATAGCCATTTGCTCTATATGGCTTCAGTGCTATTGAATCAGGCTTGCCCATGGTTTTCTTTGTCTTTTGGAAAGAACAACTCTGGTGAAGAATAGAATGTGTGCTGTAGAACAGACAAACTTTATAAACTTCTTGCTCTTATTGTCATGCAGATATACTATCTCATATTTGAATTTATACCTGCCCCAGCAAATTGAGTAATTAAGTCCTTCGGAGAGGAGACAAACATGCATAAACCTGACCCTACAAATTATCACTTCTTATGTGGTTTATGGGTTATCTGAGGAGAATGCTCTTTAATCAAAGAGAAGGGTGATCTGATCATCCAAGCGTGCTGTCAGCAAGCATATAATTATGGTTCAGGAGTCACTTGACTGAGAGTTTATTGTAAACCATTTCTGAAATTTCTTGTTTAGCTTCTTTTGATGCTATTGCAAGCAGGTGGATAAAGCTTCAAAACCAGATTCAGTAGGCTTTTTGTAGCAGTTAATTCTGGCCAGTGTAGTTACATTGGAGCAGTGCAGTTGATAACGAAACAGGCCTTGGAACTGGGTGGAATTGGGTGGAAACAGGCCTTATGTGAAGTAGTATAACTGCAAAACTTTCCTACCTCTTTCTCACACCTTGTCTGTCAAGATAGCTTCTGTTGTGTGAATAACCAATGACAGATCCTTGAATTAAAGATTGAGTGATGTTGATAGCTTGGACACTTGTGAAGTGCAAATTTATATGTGATATTTCAAACAGAATAGTGGAGTTCCATGTTTTGATGCTTGCTGATGAGCAAATTTCACACAGAATGAGATGACCAAGAAGGCAGTAGATAGGTCTTATGATGTATTTTGGCAGTGACTGAGAACCTTCTCGAATTGCTGTTTGTGTTGAATACAGTAACCTGTGAGATGCTTGGCTCAAAAAAGCACAAAACCTACACTCAAGTTTTATTATTTTTAATTGAGAAGCAACAAAAGTAACCTAAATCCTCCTCGAAGTCTGTAAGTGCCTGGTTAATCATGAGGCTCACATAAATACTGAAAGCTTGGCGAAGGAACTGAAGTTTCTCAACACTGCATATACAGTATAGAATATAAATCAGAGATGTGCTCTTCAGTCTGGACAGCACTTCTGCTAGAGTTTGGTCTGATACAATGTGAAAATATGTCAGTGTTTTCTGCAGTAGTGACGACCACGTCACAAATAACTGTGTGTTTGCAGTGATCCCAGGGCAGTGCTTCAACACAAACTGAATTTTGAAGGAACAAGGCAGAATGTGTATTTTATAAACATGTCAGCCACTTCAGTAGCCTTGGCTGCTACAGATATTTCCATACAGTCATTATGAATTGTGCCATCTAAGTAATGGCTAACGTAATTGGCAGACACTGATGTACTGAAATACTAAACTGGTGCGTGACGTGCACTGGCTTGGTTGCACTTGACTTATGCAAAACAACAATTAAAAAACATCTTGGGACATTCCAATGGCACCAAACTTAGCTACAGTAATAAGCTCTCTAAAATGATGGTGGCAGTGCTGAGTGATTCTTGGATAGTCGAGTCTTGTGATAACTTCTTTCTGAGTAATCTTGAGCTTGATTATGAACTTGGGTTACCTGTGTGTTAGCACTGGCTTAGAATGATTCTTCAGTAGGTCTTTAAAGGACTTAATATACAATGACTTCTTTTAAAAGAATACTATCATATTAATGAAAGAACAGAGGAGCATATTCTTCTGAAAGAACAGGAAGCTTCTGTAAGTGAGTGAAATCACTCATGCTAAAAATAACTTTTTTGTATAGAAAAATTTTTGGCACACTGTGGAGGCTTTGTAAGGTGGTTCTTCCCCTGACACTTCTCCTTCCCCAGACACTTGACCCTTCTCTACCCATGTGTCCTGGGTTCAGCAGTAGCAGTCATTTTTTTCTCCTTCTTGGTAGCTGGTGCAGTGCCGTGTTTTTGACTTTCAGCCTGGGAACGGTGCTGATAGCACCAATGTTTTTAGTTAGTGCTCAGATGTTTGGTCTGGCCAAGGACTTTGTGAGCCTCATGCTCTGCTAGGGAGGATGGGAAGCCGGGAGGAAGCAGAGACAGGACACCTGACCCAAACTGACCAAAGAGGTATTCCATACCACAGCACGTCATGCCTGGGATGTAATTGAGAGTTACCAGGAAGGGCTAGGGCACTGCGGGGTTGGAGTTTTTATTGGTCAGTGCTTGGTCGGGCTAGGGGGGGATGAGTTATTGGTCGGCTGGTGCTGAGATGTTGTATTCTCTTCCCTTGTTATTTCCTTTATCATTGTTATTATTGGTGGTAGCAGCAGTGATTTGTGTTATACCTTAGTTACTAAACTGTTCTTATCTCAACCCGTGGGAGTTGCATTCTTTTCGATTCTCCTTCCCATCCCTTCGGGAGCAGGGGGAGGACAAAAAGGGGGGGGGTGTGTGTGTGTGAGAGAGTGACTGCATGATTTATGGCTGAATTTGTTTAAACCACGACAGCATGATTTTTGGAATCTGGAGAGAGGATATTCTGCTTTGTGGTTTGGGCTTTCTACTTGGATTTTCTGCTTTTCTCTTCCTGCTCATCTTCTAATGACTTGTAATGATGTGGAGATGCATTGCAGTACTTGGAATTTCAAGTGCTTTCTATTGGAGTTAACAGATTAATAATGTAGGAATAACTGACAGCTGCAATGGTTCGCTTCTGTCAGACCACCCTAGTTAAAAAGGATGCATCTAGCCAGAGTTGCTGTAATAAGCAAAAGAAACTGGTGAGAGTTGAATCGCTCTATGGGTTTGAACTGCAGTTATTCAATGATAAACTGCAGAAGATACATTCTACTACATGGAAAAGTGTTTTTAAAAGCAGTATTCTGTAGTGTCACTTCATGGGGCATCTGATTCATGCTTCCAGTTTTCTGTTCCACTGTATGTTACTGCAACATGACTTCTTCCACTGTAGGCCAGGCAGCAATTCGGGGTCTGGTGGCAGAAGGTCGTCGTTTAGCCAATGTCATGATGGGACCTTACCGTCAAGACCTGCTTGCCAAATGTGACCGTGTAGACCAGCTGGCTGCTCAGCTAGCTGACCTCGCAGCTAGAGGAGAGGGAGAATCTCCTCAGGCCAGGGCAATTGCTGCTCAGCTTCAGGACTCGCTGAAGGTAAAAATCTGCTCTTGTGCAGTAAAACTCATGATATGCAAGATGTTTACGGGACCTGAATCCCTAAACACATAATATTCCTATATCATATGCTAATAATTTTCCTTTTTTTTTTTTCTTTCTTTTTTAAGGATCTGAAAACACGGATGCAAGAGGCAATGACCCAGGAGGTTTCTGACATTTTTAGTGACACCACAACTCCTATTAAATTGTTAGCAGTAGCGGCCACTGCTCCCTCTGATGCTCCCAATAGAGATGAGGCAAGTATACCCAGGTGGTCTGCTTCCCTTGTGAAGCTTCAGTTATTGTTTAATTTTACCTGAATCAGTATTGTGAAAAATGAGTCAATAGTTTGAAAAACGAATTGGTATCTTTTTTCCTCAAGCTTGTGATACATGCTGTTAACTCTGGCAGCAGAATGATTGCCATGCAAATCTCTCTGGACTCCTGGAGATTGCAAATTGTGATATATATCCCTGGAAAATTATATTGGCTCTGACTTCAATAAATAGCAAAGATTTCTCCCCGTGATGTTTGTACCATGTTGCCTTCAGCATGCTAAAAATTCTTGTGCAAAATTCACTGACACACTAGTTAGCACATTGTGTATCTCAACATTATATAAACTGATTAAAATAGTCAAATTCATACCAGGATTTGTCAACTCTCTGTGAACAGATTTAACTGTTGTTGGATAACATTTCTTGTATTTCAAAGCTACTGGCTGCACATGAAGTATCTAAAACTCTGTGTCTGGCTGCTCTGTTTAGCTAGTTGATTTGAACATGATCAAAATGATTCCCAAGGCCATGAAGAATTTAGCTTTATGACAGATGAACCTTTTGTCAAAGTATTCTGCCTTGAGTAACCAAGGACTGTGGAAGGAGGGATTTTTTTTTTTTCCAATATGAAGCTTCGTGTTTTAGAGTAAACCCCCCTATTTAGCTTCCAAATACAGTTACTTTTGGATTATGGTTTTGAAGATTCATCTCTGAGCTAAAATAGTCCTAATACAATACTTGTTACAAAGTAGTTGTCAGAAATCAGTGTACTTAATACCTCAAAGCTATAAAGTGTGTCAGCATCTTTGTTGCCTGACTTAGCAAAGGAAGTCCGGTAATAAAAATATTCAAAAGATAAAACGGGTTCAAAGCTTTTGCATCCTTTTGTATCCTCTCAGAAGAATTAAGGCTGAATGTTATGGTACCATGATGATGTTATGAAGGTATTGCTGGTGTTTGACACTGAAGAAATTGTATATTTTAATAGGGAGATTAGGGGTTTCTTTCTTATGTATTTTCTCTTCTGACAACTAGGTGTTTGATGAAAGAGCTGCAAACTTTGAAAACCACGCTGCTAGGCTGGGAGCTACAGCAGAAAAAGCAGCTGCAGTTGGAACTGCCAACAAAACTACTGTGGAGGGCATTCAGGCAACAGTGAAATCTGCAAGGGAACTTACCCCTCAGGTTTGCGTCGTTATGCTCAAAGGGCTATTAAATGGGGTGGGGGCAACTTCTGTGAAGTTTTCTTCATGCTTCTGTTCTCAGAGAAAGATGTTAATATCAGCAGAGACCACGCTGCTGGTGCTCTTAAAAGGGGAATAGCAAATATTTATGTATATGATATTATGTGGAAGAAACTGATTAAATGACTAGTCTTACTCCTCAACTTTTTGACAGAAGTGTTAGTGACTTACCTTTGGCAGAAAATTACTTTGAAGCTTAATAAAATATGTAGTTGGAAAAAAAATGCTCTTTAATGAATTTTTTGTTTCCAAATTAAATTTCCATCTAAAATTTGGTGCTGTGCTAAGTATTGTACTTTAGTGCTTTCAAGACATGTTTTTAAGATATATTAGCATGCAATTGAAGTTCCAGGGGAAAAAAAAGTATTTGTGTCCACAAATTCCAGAAGCATTGTACATCTTCAAGCAGCTAGATGTTGCACTAGAATTAATGAACTAGTATTCCAAATATGAACCTACACATCCAGCCCTGAAAAACACACATGCATTTTCAAGAGTGTGTGATGTTGTTATATACCGATTTTTCCATAATTAAAAATGTTTTCCATTGGCAGGTAGTATCAGCTGCTCGTATCCTCCTGAGAAATCCTGGAAATCAAGCTGCTTATGAACACTTTGAGACTATGAAAAACCAGTGGATTGATAATGTAGAAAAAATGACAGGTAAAATAGGAATCTTTGAAGATTATGCTTGTGGCTAACTAGCTATTATGATTTTTTCCGTAGTCTGAATTGCTGAAACGTGCATGAGAATAATGACTGATGACAAACTGAGAAGTAGGAATGTGCTGAGTCATTTAAAAATATGTATATGTTACAGTATAAACAAGCATCTTGCTTCATATATGTTAATTCTGAGCTCCAAGGGAGTAAATTTAGCTTTAATTCTTTTGCAGGGAGAAGTAGAATACCTGTCCATGTCAGGGGAGTTGGAACTAGATGATCTTTAAGGTCCCTTCCCACCCAAACCATTCTATGATGACTGTTCATTGAGATTGCTACTCACTGTAGCAACTTGAGGTTTTTCTCTTCAGTCTTGGCATGTTGAATAAGGACAGATAATTAAGTGGGGATAAGAAAACATGTTCAAAATATTGTAGCAGCTTGGTGAAAGCAGTGAATAAAACAAAGCGTTGATCTACTGAATCCTGCTTAGAGACCTCAGTGTTTCCAAAGTGCAGAACCTTTGCACTGATGTGCTTATCTCTTGACTGTGTACTACCTCCTTTTCCATCCCCATAATCAAGTTGTGGGTATTTTAAATTTTACTGCCTTATTCCTATATATCACCCTTAAGTAAAAGCACAGCCAGAGCGATACTTCCTTTTGGATGAATGGGAGAGGTGTAAAAAGTACTGAATATGCTTAAAGAAAGTTGGTGGTAGGAAGGAATCTCTCTTGCATTGTATAAGCCAGTTCTTGACTTGGCAACATTCCACAGTAGATGGGCAAGAGCTTGGGATGTCATTAATGGGAGCATGACCATGTTTGTGGTACTTATGTACCACATAATCAAAGTAAAACTGCAGTAATACATTTGTTTTGATTTCCATGACCCCTTTTGCCCCTTCCCAGTTTGGAAATAACTTACTTCTCTGGTTGTGAGCAGCCTCTGGAATACCAGATATCCCTTTCCACAGTTGAAACTAGAATCTTAATATGTGTAACTTTTATTCTAGGGTTGGTGGATGAAGCCATTGATACTAAATCTCTGTTGGATGCGTCAGAAGAGGCTATTAAGAAAGACCTTGATAAATGTAAAGTTGCAATGGCCAACATTCAACCTCAGATGCTGGTAGCTGGTGCCACCAGCATTGCTAGGCGAGCAAACCGCATCCTCCTGGTAGCAAAAAGAGAGGTTGAAAATTCAGAAGATCCTAAATTCCGGGAGGCTGTTAAAGCAGCTTCTGATGAGTTAAGCAGAACTATATCACCGATGGTAATGGATGCTAAAGCTGTGGCAGGAAACATTTCTGATCCTGGTAAGGATTCAGTCAGCTAATTGGTTGTTTTTCACTAGCTGCAGATGATGGGAAGTAGTGTTCATTTTGTCCTGTGCAGCTGTGTCTCCCCTTTCACGCAAATAACGTGTACACGTAAATCTCAGAACGGTGAAATCAAGGTCACAACATGAATCCTGTGTTCAGATTCACAACTGCTGAATCCTGCTCTTTTAAAATGCAGTGAAAGCCCTTTGGCATAATCAAGAGAGAAGGATTCGGCATTCTTCTTTATTATTTCTTAATCCTTATTAGAAGTATTTGTGCTAGAGCTGAACATGGCCTTTCTCTCTCAGCGTCGGCCTAGGAAAAAGTATTTGTTACTAGTTATTGGTAATACTGTTTTATATAAGAACATATTACCTAATCTCTTTCATTCTAAAAGTTCTGTTAGGAATTACTTTGGCTATTGGCTGTGACTTACTCAGCCAAGCATATGACACTAACATTTGAAACGTGTAAATCCACTGCAAACGATTGGGTAGTTTTTAAGCATTTTTTTTTTTCACAGATATAAGTGTACTTGGCACAGTATACTGTAGAAACAATTTTTTGGGGTAGTGTTGCAGTTCTAAATATTACAGAATGCTCTTAAACTGGTAATGGGATTTTTGTTCAGGTTTGCAGAAGAGTTTCTTGGATTCTGGATACAGAATTCTGGGAGCTGTGGCCAAAGTCAGAGAAGCCTTCCAGCCTCGGGAACCAGATTTTCCCCCTCCTCCTCCTGACCTGGAGCATCTTCGTGTAAGTGCAGCATAGTCTGTAATACAATACACAGCTGTCACTGATGTGTGAATTGCACACTGAAATTGAGATTATTTTTATTCCTTACAAATAAAATGTGTTGTCTGGCCAGCCATGCTTACAAGTGGCATTAAGTCTAAAATCTAGCAATCTGGTTTTCAAAAGGAGAGATTAAAACATGGTATTTCCTTTAACAGGGGTCACTTGAAAGCCTGAAAAAGGCATAGGGTCATGCAGTCATGTCTTGCCATGACACCATTCTTTGCTCAGTCTGTGTACTGTTTTGTTGCACTGAATCAGAGTTTTGCATTTCTTAGCTGACTGATGAGCTTGCTCCTCCAAAACCACCACTGCCAGAAGGTGAGGTTCCCCCGCCCAGACCACCACCACCTGAAGAAAAGGATGAAGAGTTCCCAGAGCAGAAAGCAGGAGAAGCTATTAATCAGCCCATGATGATGGCTGCTAGGCAGTTGCATGATGAAGCCCGGAAATGGTCTAGCAAGGTAAGAAGTTGTTAGAAGTATCTTGTGCTACAAGGTATTTGTTTTGGTTTGGGTTTTGTTTTGGTTTGTTAGGATCAGTGTGTTTGGTCCAAAGCCAGTTGTCTCAGTGAAAGAGGAAGTCACCGAGACTTCCAATAGCAGACCAAGTAGTAAAAACACTGCTGGAATTAGAAACCCTTTTAAGTTTGCAGTGAACTAGGGTCAACTGTTCTAATACTCAGAATTGCTGGAATGCTTTATTGACACACCTCTTTGAACACAAATATGCCTTGTATGCTAAGCTGTTTGTGATCTTGATGCTAGTATTGCCTAGAGAGCCACTAATAAGCTGATTGCTATATTTAAGTGACTTTTTAACATCCATACAGACTTTTAAGATGCCAGCAGCAGGAATCATGAGCTAGTCGTCTTCATTCTGGAAGGAGCTGCAAGTTACTTTGCTATTAATCAATCTGGCACATTTATGATAGGAGAATTGACCATATATAGATGGCCTGGTCTCATCCTTTTCTGTAGTGAGTCACATTCACTGCCAAGGTCAAAATCCTTCATTTCCTTACCGTTTCAGTGCTATGACAAAGCAATGTGAACTCATCAGTCTTAAAACTACTTTGCTTCCTCCCCTTTTTTCCCCAAAGAGATATATTTTATCTCTGGCAGCAACTGAGTAACTGAGCTTCTGAGATTTAGGCTTCTGCAGGTATAAATTAACGGTCAGAATTTGGCTTTTGAAATCTCCACTTTTCTCTCATCATGTTGTTGAATGAGCAGATCAACTTGAATAGCTTACAGAATCAACTTAAGTGCTTTGTGCTTAAGGAACATTTGTTCTGGAAGTACAGATAAAACACAAAAGAACTCCTGCAAATCAGTTTGACAGTCTTCTCCCATAAAATGAAAAGCTTTATTTTCCCCATACTTCTGGGTATACCAAATATATATTTACATTACTAAAGGGATAGTGCTGGAATGTATTGGTCATCTAGGAGGGTAGTTTTGAGGTACTTTACCAGGTGTTATGCTTATGGAGAGGTAAACAGATACTTAGTCTTTTAAAAAAGTTTTGGTAACATTCTTCATTCTTGTAAGATCTAAAACTGATTTTGTTTTTTCTCCTTCTTTCTGGGCTTTTATGTACTCCATTTTTCTCATGGAGCAGAAACTGAACACAGGCTATTGCTTTAGCTTTCCCTGCCTTTCTTGCTCATTTGGATAAATCAGAGAAAGAGGGATATTTGGAAACCTTTTCTTAGATTAAGACTTAAATAGAATTTGTCTTTGAAGCTGAGTTGATTTGGCAGCATGTAAAAGTTACAGCTTCCTTCCGAAACTTATGTGTGGTGGTGTTGTTGTAGTTTGGGTTGGGTTTTGTTGTTGTTTTTTTTTTTTCTACAAAAGGCCATATCTTAAGCAAAGCACAGTTGAAAATGCATTCATTTTGACAGTTCGAGTTTTATCACACTTGCCTTTAGTCAAAGAAATACAGTTGGTAAACTTGTAGGATATTTTTGTATTGAAATGCTGCTTTATTATAAATGCCTGTATTGTTATACTACTTACCTCTTCCTTGTGCCTACCCTAACCCTCTTTTTTTTCTTTCAAGGTAATGGATACAACATAAACATAGTGTGGCAAAACAGTACCATATGCTTCATAATCCTTTTATTCTGCTAATTCTGTTTCAATATTTTTTAAGTGTTATATTCACAGCATTCATAACATTCCGTATCATCTCCTCTTTTCATAACCTGGTATTGTTCTTTTTTATGTTATCCATGATACTTTAACACTCATTTCACAGTGTCTCCCATCCCACCTTGTTCTTTTTACCCTACAGCAAGCAGTGTCAGTGGGTTTTGTGTGATCACGCTGCTGTCTCTTCTTAGCAGATGTATGTGAACAGCTTCCATACAAAGCTTTCTGTCTGCACAAATACCATGGTCATCAGCTGCTGTGCCTGCTTCTATGCAGTCAAACCAGCTTTCATCTAAACAGGAAATCCATCAATTTCACCACTGTCTTGCCAGAAATGTTGTTCTGCAAGCCAGCCTCTGTCTGTAGAAGCTGTATCCTCAGATGGCAAATGATGCTGCATCTTTGAATTGTAACCTCTTAATATTTTTGGTAACTTTGGTCCACAGGTGAAATGTTTGTTTCCTTCTGCTAATCTTGTATTACTTCCTCCTTCTGACCTGATCCTAGAGCGGCCTGGTCAGATCCTGAGAGACCAAGAGGATGTTTTGGTCACTAAAACAGCTCAGTTCATGCTCTTCTACCAAATTCTGCTTCTTGTACTAACTGTCCCCTGTTTCTCCACCCTTGCTGCCACCTGCAAAGCCTGTGACTGTGATTAATGAAGCGGCTGAGGCTGGTGTAGATATAGATGAGGAGGATGATGCAGATGTTGAATTCACTCTCCCCTCTGACATTGAAGATGATTACGAGCCTGAGCTGCTGCTAATGCCAACCAATCAGCCCGTTAACCAGCCCATTCTGGCTGCTGCTCAGTCTCTGCATCGGGAAGCAACCAAGTGGTCTAGTAAGGTACTCCCGAGTCTCCCCGGGGACTGATCCGTGTGCATCCAGCCATTTGGAACGCTGACACATTTGCATCACTCTTGATCCCTGCTGGGCCCGGCCATTCTGAATGAATAAGTGTGTCTGCACTTTATTTTAAGGACTGAAAGTGGCTTCACAAGTTTGCTAGATCTTGTTTGTCAGTGCCGGATTAAAGCTTGATTTGGGTCACTTATTAATATTCAAAGACTTCTTTTCCCCTTGCATCTGCCTGTTCTTATTTGTTGTAGCAGTTTTCAAATTGCAATAGGGGCTGTCTTCCCTCTCCTGCTCCTGTTCTTTTTTTCCATTCATTTGGACTACCTGGGAAGCCATGGGTAATGGTTTCTTAATGACTTCCAGATACATCAGAGAATACAGCATTCAAGAAGTCATTTAACCTGTCTATTGTGCTTGGCCTCCACTGATGGCATCAATTAAAATACCTTCCAACAACAAGGAATGGCTTTGTATGGCAGTGTTTCTCGAAGAGGATTGACTGTCTGCTGGCTTGCACTTGGCTGTATTGCAAATGCTGGTCTTGAGAGAATTCTTTTATGAAGAAACTGCACTGAATGCTGTTAGCTGCTGAATTGAGATTGTATTTATGTAAAACCAGTGGAAATGTAACACGAGGTTCAGACATTCACAAGTAGCCTGTCTCCTCTGTGTAAGCACAAATGCTTGCAAGACTGGTCACTTTTCATAGCATGCTGCAAACATAAGGTTGGTGTCCCTTAACAAACCAAGATGAGGGGGGTGTATGTGTATGTATGTTTACATAGGTAGATGTACCAAACTGTTCTATTAAAAAAGGGATTTAAAAATGTTCTTGTCCTTTACAGATTCTGATGCTTGGATAACTTGTTAGAGAGCTTCGTAAATGACACTGGTCCTAATTTCTTGATCCTCCTACGTGAAAACATGGAAAAACTTTGCTATGTCATTTGCATCCTAACTGGTTATACTAGCAAACTGTTTAGCTATTAGGTCACGGTAACAAATAGTTCAGCCTTTTGTGTTATCTGTATCTGTAAAATATCTGGGATTTCTTCTTGAATTTGCTAGCAGTGAGTCATGGAAATATGTGCTTATAGGGATAGAGAATACACTCGTTAAGTTGGGTTCTCGCTGTGTACTCTTTGCTCCAAACTTCATCAGTCATTAATTGTGGAATTATACTGAGAAAAGAGTGTGCTAATCCTTAAAATCACTCTGCTAATACTTCATCCACACCACAGGAATGCTTCATGGCACCAAATAATTCACTGTTGTCTAACAACTTTCTACAAAGGTGAATCTAAATATACTAATAGACTACTAACAATTGATCATATAGGTCTGCTTTTTCTTGCACTAGGTTTCTCTCTGGAACAGTGTGTAAGAAATGGTTTTGCCTTATTCCTACATAATTCACATTTCAAATATTTCTCAGGGTATTTCTGTGACTAATTTTGATGTACAAGAAATCTGGCTTTTAATGTAAGAAATATCATTATATCATTGCATTATCTTTTGAACTATTACGTAGTTCTCTCCTGGAAGCTTTATTTTTAAGGGGCAGATTTTGTCAAAAAGGAAGATAGATTTTTCAAGGAATACCTTGAAACGAAATAAACCAACCAACCAAAACAAAGAAAAGTAACAGTTGCATCTCATTTCCACATTACTTGTGACAGAAGATATGTATGTTACAGATTCTCTTCCATTTTTCCTTTTGCAGCATAGCAGCACAGCTGATGCTTTTACAACTTCATTTTCAGAGGCCACTGAATATTTCATGCTCAACTGTTATGACTATACTATTTAACTTCATTCGTGCTATTTGGTTTAACAAGCTATTTAGCACACTTTTAATTTAAAGCCTTTTTTGGGAAATCTGGAATTCCAAGTCCTAATAACATGCTTTATCTTAAAACCCATACAGCAGAGCAGTAACTCTCATTCCATGGACAAAACTAACTTCTTTAAACTTCTTTTACCACTTCTTTTCCAGTTTTGAAGCGAAGTTTTTCCTGAGTGTTAGGAAGAAAAAATGTTAAGAAATGCATGATTAGTACAGCTCTTCCCTGTTCCTTGAAGAAACCTCTGTTCACAAATGGTTCTTCCATCCTTAACCTCTAGAAAGTGCTGCTACCCAAATGTAGACTGCCACTGAGCCTTGACTTCTGCGCAGTACCTGTGGTGGTGAGAAGGCTAACTCATCTTCTTCTCTTCAGGGTAATGACATCATTGCTGCTGCTAAACGAATGGCACTCCTAATGGCAGAGATGTCGCGCCTGGTGAGAGGAGGCAGTGGAAACAAGCGCGCCCTCATTCAGTGTGCGAAGGACATTGCTAAGGCCTCAGATGAAGTCACTCGGTTAGCCAAAGAGGTGGCAAAGCAGTGCACTGACAAGCGCATTAGAACAAACCTCTTGCAGGTAATGAGGTAACTTGTGAATGCCTCAACTACTCCCCTCACCCCTTTTCCTCTCTTGGCGTGAGTAAGCACAGGAATTGTGGCAGTAAACCATGTATCTTTCCTTGGCTTGGAAGGTTTCATCAAGTTCTACATCTGTTTTTAGATCCCATGGCCACATATATTTTGTAAAGTCAGGATTTTTTTTAGAGGTGAGTGGAAAATGCCAGTGTCCAAAGAAGTTAGAAAAATAGGGTGTTACGAACACTGGTCTGTCCTAAGCCTGCATTGCTTTGTATTTCATCTACTTACTCCTTTATATCAAAGAAGAGTAGCAGAAATATAACACTCCTTAGTGTTTCAGTCTCAGGTAAACATACGTGATGCCGTTCATAACCAAGCAGGTCCTTGAGGAATATCTGGAAGAAAGGAAAAATAGTGGCTCCATCCCAAAAATTCCAAAAGCAAGTAAAATCAAGTAACTTAGCAATATTTGTCAGGAAGTCCTCAAGGCCGTAAGATCCCCTCTATGCTTATTCCTGATCTTATGGTAAAAACAAAATCAAAAAGTGTTCTGAAAAAAACCCAACAGATAATGTGCTGGTTCAGTTGTCAACGTGAGGTGGTTTTTATCCCCCTTCCTTAGGTCTGTGAGCGAATCCCAACCATCAGTACACAACTGAAAATTCTCTCCACTGTCAAAGCTACCATGCTGGGCAGAACTAACATCAGCGATGAAGAGTCGGAACAGGTAAGAGGTGTAAAAGTTGATGCTAGTGTGGAAATGTTGATAAGCTTAATGTGAACAAATATATACATGTAGTATTGGCTGTGTTCTGGGAACTCGATGTTTGGTGGCTTACCTCAGCTGTTCAGTGGTGCTCATTTTAGTACAACACCTTGGTTTCTGACTCAAAAGCTGCAGTTTAATAGAGGAACATCAATCCTTCTCAAGCCAAAAAAGTTACTCTGGCTCAAATTTTTGTATGAACAACTTGTTAATTTCCTCGTTTTAACAGTGAAAAGTGAGCTAGCTGAAGACCTTGCTTCTACAAATAGAGCAAGTTTGACATTGGAGGAGTACGAGCGCTCTGTGGTGGAGTGTACAGAAAATATTTGTTCTCCAACAACATCTTGAGTACTCGCAGTTCTGTTAGTTCCCAAATGCATGTTTTCAGTTGAAATCCTGCAGTTTTTGCTTCTGGGAGATTGTTCTACTTTGAGACACTCAGTTTTTATTCAGATTTCGCATAAATACACAAATGAGGTTTCCAGAGGTGAATTGTTCCATTTATTTTTTCTTAGTTTAAATTAGCAATAACCTGACTTAAGCTGCTTGTACTGGGGGTCCTTGTGCACAATGGGCTTCTGTGCTACTCTCTTGGACATGGTATTTACCAATACATTTTAAATTTGTCTTTTTCTTGACAGGCAACTGAGATGCTGGTTCATAACGCCCAGAATCTCATGCAGTCTGTGAAGGAAACTGTGAGAGAAGCTGAAGCAGCATCCATTAAGATAAGAACAGATGCTGGATTCACTCTTCGCTGGGTCAGAAAGACCCCCTGGTATCAGTAGACACTTGCCACATAGGTATTATTTTGTGTAACTTAAAATGCCTTTTTTTTTTCTTGGAAACAGAAGAGATGTATTAACAGCAAGAGGTGCTGTATACCTGAGCTTAAGACTAGCTTATGCTAATGCCCCATTCTAAGGGTATGAATTAGAATGCATTTCAAATGTCTTTGGAACACATTTGATATCCAACACCTCATGGCTTCCGATGGCAGACAGTTCGTATCACCTGTTTTTTATCAGTTTGCTTTTGAAGATTCTCTTGATGAATTCTGTACTCCCAGAAGCACATTTCATTTATGCACTGTATACTCCAGTAGTTTCCATGTGATGATATAAAACATGGACCTCACTTCAAGCTTGTGTTAAGATAGGACACTATTTGTTACTTGGCAGTTTTTTAGGGACAGCCATTGATACAGAAACATTGAACACGTCAGCAGGATTTCAGCTGCCTGGTTTAAAACCACGCAGAAATGATGGAAGATGTAGGGGGGTTATATTAACAGGTATGGGAGGGCAGCAGAACAGTTGTAAACTGAGGATTACAATTCCATGTCTGAAATTATATTTTCTGATTTGTGCCTGGCAGCAGTATTTTAACAAAAACTGGAGCTCTGTCACCCTCCTGTAACCCTGTAAGTAGGCATTCCAGAACTCCTGTACTGTACTGAAATGCTTTGCAGCGGATGTTAGTGGCACACTGTTGACAGCTTGAGCCTTACGGCTGGAGACCTTAACTCATGGACGTCTTTCCTTCTTGCTCAATTCACTAACATAGTGAGCTGGAAAATCCTGCATGTCCAGGACCAGAAAACACCACATGCTGGCTCTTTCCTTCTGAAAACCAAATGAGCACATGCAATTATTCTTTTTTTAACTCTTCCCTCCATTTAGTGTTATTCCAGCCACTCAAGGTGAAAGTTAAAAGATATACTGAATTAAACAGGACCTTTTGCTTCACTGCCCTGGTTTCCAACAATGCATAAGGCACATAACCTGCACGATTTCAAAGAAGAGCTGCAGTGACATTAAACTCTTTTTAGGCAGCCTAATGGTTACCAGCAAGTGGTAATGTGAAATATACTGGGCTATTTTTACTGTTTTTGACGTTTGGAGGCTCAAAATCTTTTTTCAAGGTCTAATAATAGGGAATTGCACAAAGTGTTACTGTATCTTAAAAAAAGGCAGACAAAACCGTAACAATTAACCCCCCCCAACAAAATCCCCCATTCCTCTCATTATTAAAATAAACTTGGGATGCTTTTATCCTTCCATAACTGAACATGCCTTCATAGATTTATATACATACACACGCACACACACACACACACATTCATTTCATTGCTTCCTGGTCTCTTTTGGCACTTGACAGAAAGCAGGATTGTTGTTTTAGAATGAGTCTCTGTACATTTGTAAGACTTCTGGCCAGATCAACACTGACCTCATGATGCCCTCCTAATTTGCTGAAGTGTTGCATGATCAAACCACCTTTAACAGAAGTGCCCTTGTGGAAGAACTGCTCTGTCTTAACGGCTCAAAGGAGGAGGTACATGACAGTTTACCTGTCTGCAATTCTACACTTGGACTTCCTCCTCTCCACCCCCTTTGTTGCACTGTTATCTAAAAAGGGAAGTCAAACTGATTTTGTTACAGCTGCCTCAACCTGACCTTAGCAAGAGAAAAACGTGTTCATCTTTAATTCACTCCTTGTGTCTCGGTATTACGGAATATGTGGTACTTCGGATCTTTCCTTAATATTCTGTTCTTGCAATTACCTGCAACAGGAAGAGGAAGGAAGGGGTGCCAGAGCCTTAACCTGAATGTCTTGCATTTGGTTGGTTTGTACCAGATCTTTAACATAATTGTAATGTAGTAATTTCTATTTAATAGTAAATAACACTGAATTAGGTAGGGATTATTTTTAAAGGATTTTTCTAAGTAGTCTTCCTGTATTCCTTTTTAATGCTCCTCACATTTCTTCCCTTCCCCCTTCCCAGTTCAGGCTTCTCTGTGAGATTTTTTTTAGCATCACTGTTTAGTTGCTTGACTGATATTAATGCAATATTACTAATGCCTTTAATACATAATTGTTTATGCCAAAGATCACCTTTTGTTTATTGCAGAATGTTTGCAGCAAAGTTACAAATCATGGTTGCCTTTGATATCCTTCCAGAATGTTTGCTATAAGTTCTTGGCCTGTTTTGTAGAAGCTGAGATCCATGTCCACCTTATGCAATTACTTCTTTTTTGAACCCTAGTGGTCTTCAGACCTGAAATGCAGAAAATATTTGAAAACAAGACCATGAATGTCACTTAGAAATGTTTTGCCACTATAAAACTTTGTTTATAAACCAAAATGTATTGTATAGTCTAATGTTTTCAACCTTCCTTTGGTTCTGTTAAAACAATAAAAATGCATTTGTACAAATGTCAGCCTGTGAGTGTTAATGGTAATGGAGCAGTGGGTGACACAGTAACAAGGGGAGTAAAAAGCTAAAGCAGCAGAACCACTAAAGGACAGATGTTTCTGCATATTCTGAACAAAGTGCAGTTTCTCAGACAGAAGATGTTCAAGTTGTTTCTGTCTTTTGTGCCCATAAAACTAATAATTAAAGAACTTGATGGAAGCTGTAATCCAGTGGGGAAAAAACTGGAGCTCTTCCAGAGGCCTGGTGGTTATCTGTTCTAGTAGCATTGGGCAAGGTTCTGAAAACTTGAAATTTTCTGTCACTAAGGAAAGATGTGCTGCTCTGGGCAGCACCTCATTAATCTGAGGTTTACTTCACAAACTGAATGCAGGGGTGATTAGCATGGAATCCCTGCCCTGCTCCCATCACTCCTTCACAGTAAGAATACCTTATAAACACTTTTTTTTCACTAAAAGTATTTACCAGCACACATCATGTTCTTTGTGCAACCAATGTTTATTGGTGCTGTGGGACCCAACGAAATCCCACAGTGCCAGACAGCACCTGGGATTTAGTAATGACATGTAAAATTCAGATTTTGTGCTGTACACACAGTTCAATCTGTATCTGAGACAGGATGAGAACCTGGGAGACGTTTGCCTTTGCAGCGCTCCTGGAAGTGAACACCCAGGGAAGGTGAGACCAATGTCTGGCAGTACAAATTCATCAGTAACAACACCCTCCAGTTCCTTCAGCTGTGCTATTCCTATAGGTGCTGGTGCAATTTTTCTTTAACAGGGAGAATGGAACACAGTCCCCTTCTGCAGGTTCCTCAGTTGAGTTTCCCGTGTTTGGAGAACCGGCAGGAACTAGCACACCACCACCAAAAGGTGTAAGCCTCACACAACAACCACCATTTCTCATGCTGAAGGTAGCTTCCTAGCAGGCAAGTGTAATTGTTGCTGATGGTGATTTCCAGTGGTGTGCTGTGAGGTACAGATGGAAGGTTTTCCAGAGACAGAAGCTCTGTGAGTGCTTCTCTGGTGTCCTAGATACAGAAGGCTGGTAGGGTTCATCCTGCAACTTGCCGAGTGAAGCGCTGGTGTGAAGGCCAGCTCGTTTTGATAGCGTATTATGTTCTGTATGGTGTCAGTTGTGAAAGGAGATCTTGCAGGTTTTCCAGGCTGCTAATGCAGAGAGCAGCTCCACCTACTCACAGTTAAGCTTGGGACATTATCAGTTACATCTGAAAAGACGACTCCTACTAAGATTACTGGAACTGAATGAACCTATTTCCTGAGACATGGAGCAGAACTGTAGTGTGAGTATTGAATTCAAAAAAGTTCAAAAAGGCAGATTAGAAGGTTGGTAACTTCCAATGCCCACTGTTGTGTCTACACAAATGCAAGGCTTTCTTACAGGTGCTGGTTCTTACAAGTGCTATTTTATCTGCACTGATCTGCTGTTATCTCAGAAATTCAAAATGATTGTCTGTGGCCAAAGTTTGCCCCAGTGGTATCAGTGAAGTTACTGATGGAGAATTGATGCTCCTTTATTTCCTTACTGGCTTGCTGACAGTGCTCAGATGGTTCCTCTCCTTTTTTTTCAGACTGGATCATTTTTTGTCCCAGCATTTGACATTTTGACTACTGAATGACTCGAGTTCCTGTTCTTCATCTGAAGCAAAGTTTTCACCTAATCATTTTGTAAACCAAACAGGGAAATAGACTCTACAGTATCCTGCCCTTAATCTTTAACTTGAGTTTCCCACCCTATAAAGTACTGCCCAAAGGTGTGCTTTGAAACCTGGCAGGTACTGTGGGGCACCCATTGGTTTATAGAGATAACAACTTCATGGTATAAGGCAGTTTAGACAGCTTTGCTTCATCGCTGTTGTCTTTTTCATGATCTAAATATTACTTCTCCTCCATTACAGAAGGGAGCTTACCTGCTGTGCTCCTACATGCCCCTTCTAAACTTCAAATAGCTTGAGAGAGATCAAGTTCAGTAAAGAAGTAGTAAATGGCCATCACTTAATTGTATCTTAAGTAGATGTGTCCTGCTTACGAGCATCATGAATTGTGCAAACATTTCACAAGAGAGGATGTATTTGCAGTAGAGTTCCCTTTATTTCATTAACATTAAAGCACACAACCATTAAATACACTTGACACTTCTATTGTGCTACCTAAAAAGCTACGCTCCAATGCACACATGGCACAAATCTGGTGGTATCCACTTGGAACAAGTGGAGCATCTACATCAAAGCAAAGGCGTCACATAAAAAATAGATCTTACTCTCTGCAATTGTATTCTTAAAAAAAATGATGGTGGTGATGAGATTGAATGGCGAGAAAGTGGATTACTGAAGCAACAATCACCTCCCAGATTTAATGCAGGATGTTATTTTTATCAGCTCATCTGCAGATGGCACAAATGAAGGCTGATTAAGGCAAATGCTTCTTAAGAAAGGCGATTTCTTGTAAACAAGGAAGTTATTTTTCTCTTCATCAGAAGCTCTTTCTCAGGAGTGACACTTGCTACATCCCAGGCCCCTGCCAGGGACCCTTGCCCCTCTTCCTGCTGCTCTGTTTCTGAAGGGGTTACATGATGCTTTGTGGGTTGCCAGCTAGCAGCTGGCTGTGAGAATAGCTGAGCTCTCTCTGCAGGTGGCTGCAGCAGCAAAACGTGCCACCACAAGACTTCTCCAGTGACCTGTCTGGCCTTCAGAATGTGCTTGACCTCTGGGCTTTGGTATCTGACTGGCAGTGTAGTGTCTGTGGCATTCTGTGGATCACCTACACCAAACTATTCACCAGAACAACAATTCAGTAAAAAAAGAGTAAAGGTGTATTAGAAAAAAAGTACCTTAATTTAAAGCCATATTAAGAAAAACTAAGCTATGCTTTCATTTTAAGAGCTGCTGTGCACAAATGCTTTGATCCCAAACTAATCAGTGTCTATTAATTAACTGGCACCTAATTAATAGCAAAGTAAGTCACTAAGCAGTGAATTTTTCTTTTTTTAAGGGGAATTTCCTCTTGGAAGTTGAGCAGCTTTTCATGTCCTCACTTGGAATTTTCCTGCTTTTGTAATATATTTGACACCTTTAAAAGGCTTGTATTTCTCTCCATACATGTCTAGGCGATTCACTTTCAGTCCTGAAAAAGACAAAAACAAGCATGAATTAAAAGCAGAATGTGAGAAATGTCAGTCTTTTCATCAGTCCTGCTTTCTTGAAGCATGTCAGATCAGGTAGGAAGCTCATTTTCCTTCCTTTCACAAGTACATCTGGTTTGAAAAGGCAAAGAGACCATTCCTGTCACCTCCTGGTAGCTGCCCTGGCAGGGCAACGACTTTTTTGTGTTCTGCTCCATGAGCCAACATCCTCCTTCGAAGGGATCAAGTGGGTCTCATCTTGCACTGCTCCTGTACGCTGCACTCAGTTCCAACAATGTAGATGAAGCAAAGGACAAGTTTTAGAAATCTTCTCACCCTAAACCATAACTGCAAGGATCAGCAATTCTTCTGCTAATAGTGACTGAGGAACACCAGCAACTATTAAATTACCTAATGGTTTCAGGTTGTCCCCTGTGTTCTCACAGGTCCGTATCTCTGGCATCCAGCCACCAATCCACTATGTTTTGCTAGATTTAAACTAGAGGGTCACAAGTTTAAGAGGAAGCTGCAGGATTCTGTTCTTGCAAAAGGACTCTCTGTTACTCACCGTAGTCCAGAAGCAAAAAGACCACAGCCCGGTACCTACATAGAAAGGAACTATGTGTACTACCAGCAATTCTCATCTACCACCTTCAGTCATCCTCTTTCCAGGCATGAGCCTTTGCTCTGTTAGGGTGTTAATCCTGCAAAGCTTGCTTGCAGAAGCATTTTCCACTAGCACAATTTAACTGTTTGCAGACTGAGGCCTTGCTTGCTTTAAATTTACTTTTGCACTTGCCCTATAGACTTCATTCTGATTTTACTTGCAGATTGTTTCTAAGATGAAAACCTAACCAGCTCCAGGGGGGAAAGAATAAGAAGGGCATTCTTTAAAATTAATGGAGTTTTTTGACTGCTGGAAAGACCTTTAGAGGCACAAGGCTAAAGCTAGTCAAGGGCAGCATGCTAAATCATCATTCTTCACTATTTTAGTGAATGAATTTGCATGTTTAGTGCACAAGTCAACAAAGAAAAGTCCATTCTTCTGTACACTTCTCGCAGTCTTTCTTGAGTAAAACAATTGGGAATTCACTATTCCCAGCAAATCTAACTGTCAGGTTTGGGTAAATCAGACTTTCCTGTTTTGGTAAGCTGACTCCAGATCAGCATCTCCAATTAAAAGATTAAGTTTCCCACTTCAGTTCCTACCGCTATTCATTCCATCCGTGCTGGCTGCATATCACACTCACTCACCTGAAATCGCAAGCTGTTGTATCTTAAACTGGATGTTTAAACTGGGATTCTCCTCTGGCTTGGGGGCTCCAGACTGCAGGTTCACCAGGCCCTTCAGGTTTGGTAGCTTCTGAGGGGTAATTTTGCCAACATCCCACGTTAACACCTTGTCAGGAAAGAAAGAGCAGTAGTAGTAGGTTTCTAGGAAACAACCTATGAGGTCAAGTTCACGGCAAGCTTTTGGTTTGCAGGCTGGGTACAGAATGCAACCTGGTAGCCCAGAGAAGTACCGCACTGGCTGGGAGCTGGCATAGCCAGGGCTCCTGCAGGTGTAGTGACTCTTCTTTCCCGACATTTCTTTTGCCCTGTGAGTGTTCCTTAGCACTTTATACATCTTGCTCCCTTAGTAGCAGTGATTGTTTCTGTTGCCTGACTGTGGGTCATCTAGATCCATGCAACAAGGATGCAATCAGCACAAAGGTCATAGGAACTTTTTATGAACATGAGAACGAGGAGGACAGGATGCCAAGATGCTTGGCAAAGGAAGGTGTTTAAGTTACAGGAACTTCCATAAGGGTCACTTGTTTCCATTGGTTCTTAACACTTTAAAGAAGATACATGGAACCAAGTTGGCCCTTTACTCATCCACAAGAGGTTTTGTTCTTATCATAAACTGAAAATTGTCAATAAATGCAGAAACCCCTCAGTTCTCTCTACTTCTACTTACTTTTGCAGTTACAATCCACCTAGTTATCCCAGCTCTAAAAAGCACAGTATGCTTTATTTCTGCAGTGAGGAAAGGAGACTTCAAGTGTGGGTGTTTGTTTTGTGGTTTCATTTTTAAAAGATCAAGGTCTATTCTTTCAGAAACAAGATGTGGAGAGTTTTCACTTACAATTCACATCAGTTGCTCACTGAGCTACTCCAAAGCTCAGAGCAGGGTGTCAGAGCCAGCAGAATGGTTTGGCTCAGGCTGCGTTTCAGCAAAATGGTTCCTGGGTACTAAAAAGATTCAGAAGCCTTAGGACATTTAGGGCTCAAACCCCAGCTCAGAGGCAAGAAAACAGGAATCCCAGGACACAGTATTTCAGACCTTTTGTTCCCTTCCAGTGTGTCCTCAGGCAGATCTTTTGGAAGTTGTTTCTCATCTCCTGCTCCCTGTTTTTCTGGCTACCTCTTTTCAGTTCTACTGCATTTTCTCCAGCTAAGTTTGTTTTAAAGAACATGGATTGCAGAATATACCATAGCTGAAACCACCAGCAAAATACTGCTGCATCCATTAAAGGAAAATATTCAGGGAGTGAAGAGGCAGAGGAAAAGAGAGGAAGGGAAGGGAGAGGGGAAGGAAAGGGAGACTGATAAAACCAGAAATCACAGCTGGTGTGTATCTAAGTCTGAAAAAGTAAAATTTCAAGACAAGAATTTAATTCTTAAACATACGCTGAAGGGAAAATTTTCTGCCAAGTGTGGAATGCGGCTCCAGCACTCTGCAGTACGTATGACTTGTTCTAATGTCACCTTAAATAACAACTTCAGACTTACCTTAGTAACTGGGTCAAACGTATAGTTGCCTTGTGTAGCAGTAAGGTTCATATTAAGTACGGCCTTTGGCATGTGAACTGTCATGACAACACTTTCTACTGTTTTCCCCATATTCTGTTTTGGTCCAATGGTAACATCAAATCTTCCTGAAGAACTGTTTTCCTTAAAACTGATGACGTGTTTCACATACACAGGAATTGCCACCAAGCTGAAAAGAGAAAACAGTAGCTGAATGAATCTTGGCTACTTCTCTGCTTGATTAAAAAAAAGCTCTTTCTCATAAACAGTTCCTGTGCTTCTGGCAGGTATTAAAGTTAGAACCAGTTTGTTTCAAAAGTGAAAAGTGATATTCAGCTCTTCAACATCACTTCAGCTGAAGTGATTTTATTAGCAGAGAATCACAGGGAAAAAAAGATTTTGTTCTTAATCAGTGTTCTAATCTCTATCCCTCCATCTGTCTATTTTTTGAAGTAATCTCAGTGAGGCAACTCTCAGAACAGCCACCAGTCAAATCTGACTTAGCCTGCAGATTATCTGCAGTTTAGACTTTTTGCTTTACCCTTTTTATGAAGACCAGAGTCCTCTATGCATACAGAGACTTAGCCACGCAGCATCTAGGCAGCAACAATTACCAGGAACAAACAAGCCTGTATTACTATCATGTGGCTTATCCCACTGAGAAATGATTGCTGAGTATCAGCAGCTCACTGAAAAACTGTTTTCTTGTTTTAGCAGGGACAGAGCCACAGATGAGACAAAACCTGAGAATGTGCGTTTTAGGAACAATGCAAATTCTCCCCATGACAAGAAGTCTGCAGTTCCTCAGATGGAAAGTGGTAGATGGTGTATCTGAAGAACCACTGTGTAGAAACGTACTTCTGTGAACTGACACGGTAGGAGATCAATCTGAAATTCCCATCGGGAGGAATAAATGAAAGGACTCTCTCCGACTCCCAGCGTTTGAACCGAATGCATGGGTGGAAGCTGACATCATCCAGCAGCCGTGGGTTCTGTAAGCAGTGGCAGAGTGGTAAGTGAAATCTCATCAGGTACCAGCAGTTTGAACTAGCTACTGAACTCCACACCATTCCTATTTCTTAGACTCTACCATTCCTAGCTATTTTCTGAAACACGTTACTGAGCTAGATGCATTTCTGGTCTGAACTGGTACAGGAGCTCCTCCTGTGAGTGTAGGTTTATGTACAGAGAAAAGCCATTCCAACTACTGAGCAATGCAGCAAGTTCACATATAATGCAAAACTTCCTTTTTTTTTGTGTGTGTGACACACAAAGTAGTGATTGGACTCTTAAAAACTCTGGTCACTAAGATATATTTAGCATATATTTTGAATTTTAGTTACTCAGGATTTATTTACCATGAAAGAAAGAGAAAGATCTGGCATTCCTGAGAGCTTAATACATGAATCAATAACACCTTGGATTTCTGCAAAGACTGTAGAACCTGGAGGGGAAAAAAAAAGAAGACAGTTGACTTAAAATTATTATGAAAGGCCTAACAACCGTTGTGAGTGCAGCTAGAGGGCAGAAATGACATTTGCGCAACACTGAAGAACATGCCAAGCACAGATAGGAAAGGTCACTGCAGTTACCTGTGGCCTGGGCAGCTTGCTTACATACAAGAGCCAGAGCAAACAGCTTGTCCCAGATCAGCTAATGATACTTGTGCCAGCTGTTACACAGGACTTGTACTGTATGTGCTTGAACTGGCTGCCAGCAATAGCAAATAAGAATTTCAGCATATGCAAACTCTGAATCTTCCTTTCTTTCATCCCTATCCCATCCCCAGAAAACTAGCAAGTTGTGTAGTGGTGCAGGAACAATGGAAAGATCATTTTCTCATCACATTTAAAACTTCAACTATTTTTTCCATTTGTATCTTTTGAGAGAGAATCAATATACAAACCAAACCCATCTAAGTACAGAGTATTTCTTGTGGATGCTCCTGAAGCAGCCTAGAGCATATTGCTGGTTTGAGATAAACTGAAGAAGTTGAGGTGTATCATTTAAAACTGTGTTTTTCTATTTAAGATATGGATTCATCTATATAATACACATATAAAAAAGCCTTTGGACTGTATTCTCTCTAAACATCAGCAGCTAATTATAAATACATTGAACAAACAAAAATGATTTTGTAAGGCATCTTACCTGATTTGTCTATAATTGCATCAATTTCTTCAACAACATCAAAATAGGCTTCATTGTTTGTGTATTTTACTCCTGCTCTGCGCCAAGGAATATTGGACAACTGCCCGGTGGGAAGCGTGTCACCTACATTACTACTGCCTTAAAAATGAAAAAAAAACTCAAAATCAGTAACTAATTACATGAGAGATGTTTCAACTGCCAAAATTAAGAATAAAAGCAAGATTTGCCTCCAAGAACTCCAGACTAGAGCCTGGACCACTAAATTTCATTCATGAGGTGACATGAATGCACTTTAAGCATGTGTCCAGACTTGTGGTTGCACAGCAAAATACAAGGCTCATGACAGCAGGTGCTTTGAGTGGGAGTAGGTATGGGGCTAGATACTGCAAAGGATTTCATCACTACAAGACATTACAGCTCCTTCTGAAGTTCTTAAGCATTCTGCTTCCCCTTTGTCCTAAAAGTTTTAACTGGCTGCCTTCAGGGCTGATTTACCGATAGGATTTGTTATGAAGACCTGGAAGAAGCCTTAGGGAGGGCTTCCACCCCTTTTGCTTGTTGTTAAGTGGAGGCTCTCACCCCTGTACGCATCTGAGCTACCTCCTAGCAATATGACTGCCACGTCTACACTTGACCACGTGTCGCATCGATCCAGACCCTGGCCCACAGGCTTGACCTGTCTCAGCATGACAGTCTGTCCTGGCAATCATTGAGCTGTAGGTGACCCTGTTACTTAATCGTGACCCTGACCTGTTGGCTCAACTTCTGGGCTCCTGTCCTGGGTTCAGCAGTAGCAGTCATTTTTCCCCTTCTTAGTAGCTGGTGCAGTGCTGTGGTTCTGAGTTACCAGCTTGGCTTAAACCATGACAGTTCCTTAACAGTGATGGCACTGCCCCTGCCTGTCTTGCTGTCACCTTTGGCTCCTGGTTCTTAGTAACACCCAGTGTGAGAAAAAGGCCTCCTGAACTACCTAAAGTAAACTGGTTCTTATTTAAAAATGAAAAGAGAAAAAAAAAAATCTTATCACTTCTGGGGCTTTGTGATCTTGGAATCCCAGTATAGTGGAAACAACTCCCTCTGCTAGAACTAGGTCTCAGAATAGGGCCACAGCTCCTGCTTGCTTTTGCCCTTTAGCACAACGAATGTGGCAGTGTGTCATGCAGCTTCATTTGGAGTCTGGCAACCAGCACTTATTTCTACACAACCTGCTGGGGATAGGCCCTTTCTTAGCAGGCAGAAAACAGATGTGCTAATTCTTCTGAAACTCACACAGAAAAACCCTTGCCTAAAATCCACCCTGGTGCTGTAACTCATGGGGGAGGAGTCGCAACCTTTTCCCCACTCCCACTGTGTCTCTAAAGGGGAGAAGTTGCTGTTTCTCTACCTGTTCCTCTGCAGCCTCACAGGGTGCAGCAGCACTGCACAGGCTAGGCTGCTGGGCCACACAGGTGAGAGAGCTCCGATATCAAACCACATGTGCTACCTCAAAGACCAGCACCTCTGAGCACTACCCCTCTGTGGCCCTGCAGCCCACCTACCCTTCTCTAACACAATGTGCAGGCAAACATCATGCGTATCTTTGACCCCAAGTGACACCTCATGGCTTACTGCCCTTGCACCCGCCTGCCAGACATGCAGATTCCACCAGCTCAGCTGACGGACATTTGGCCCTGTCAGTGCAGGATATACCCATTTCCAACAGCCTGAAAACAGCTCCAAACTTGATGGATGCTAATGGGGATGGGGACAGGGAGGAGGCTGAGGACATGGGATTTGCTTCCCTTAATGCTGTCTGTTCCCAGCCACCAAGGATTTATTAGATACCTCTTATATACCTTTCTATAATATTTCTTATAAAATATGTAACCTTCTCCAATGCCCTTCAGTTATTCAAAGCCTGGGGCTAGCTCTGTGCCAATCCCAGAGCACCTGTCTCCAATACGTGCTGCCTGTGCTGGGAACTGGTATTGCTGAGGGACTTTAGCAGCTGTGACTGGACCAGACAGTGCAAGGATATCAAAGGTGCCAGGCATAAACTCCAAATAAAGAGGAAGTTGGTTTTACCCAACTCTTTATTGTGAGAAGTGGTGGACAGTGGCCTCCCTTAAAGATTCACACCAGTATGATATTATTTTTCAGCCATGAGATATGATGGGATTTGGTTTTAGCCAGTCACCACTGAAAATGATTTATTTTCATACCTGTGATGGAGTTGACAACGGAGCGCAAAATTGTGGGAGGCTTAATCAGCTCCTTCAGTATGTTAGATTCTGTCGCCAGTGGAAAGCCATTGTCTAACATTTCTTCTAGAAGTTCATACACAATAACTACATTGTCTTTAATTGCAGTCTCAGAACATTCGCCGAAGTAATCCTGAACAAATCAGAGATTACAAAGGAGAGGATTTTTATTCCTGTTTAAGATGCTTTAGAGAAGTTTCTTTGGGGATATTTTTGTGTTGGTTTTTGGTTTGTTTTTTTTTTTTATTTACAGAAACCCTCCGATGTATCAAGTCATTTTAGTGCCTAAACTAACTATATCTATAGTCTGATGGCATCATATGTTATGTTTATTATCTAACTAGAAATAAAGACAGTGTGGACAGTGAAATGATTGTAATCTGTTTTACTAGTATCAATGTACTGAAGGTTCTCCCACTTGTGAACTTGAACACATCTTCAGTTAGAAGACAGTTGTAAAATAAGGAGGCTATCTTTTGGCAATGCTCAGTCTTCACAGAGGTTCCTTTATTTAGACTATTTGTGAAATAGGTTGAAAAACTGACTCGGGCTTTGCAGCTCTTTCCTCCCTCCAGAGTGCTTCATGACTGCATGCTCCTTTTCATCTATATAACATGAACAGTACAAAAGCTTACAGAAGGAAGACAAAGTGGGATTTGGGTTGTAGTGCACGTGCACTGGTAAACTGTAAATCAAATGAATACACAAAACAGACCTTTTCCTTTGTGCTCTGCAAACCAGTGCCTGACTTAAAAATTGCAAAGGGGAAACTCACTGACAGGGGGTTTATTACTTTTCTTTAAAAGTAGTTTAGACAAAAGTTCCCTTGGAGTGATTTAAATTTTAAAAATTAATGATGACAAACCTGGAAAGTATCTGCTACTCGGTGCAGAAATTCAATTACAAAGAGTGGTGGCACTTCTGTCTGTATGACAGACACAAAGAAGATTTTATCCCTATAGATGCTGATGAGGTAGTGATGTGGCGTTGAAATGACAGGAGGCACATTCTCAACATCGATTGCTTTCTCCTGAGCTTCAAAGAAATAATCACACACAGATTGGCTCACAACGCTCTTCCAGTGCTTCTCCAAGAATATATCACCAGAACAGTTTATAAGAAACAGGCTGTGGATCATTTTCTGTTGGAAACACATTCAAAGAAGTTAAAATAAGCAAAAGGATATGAGGATTGACATCATTTCTTCTCCCAGATTCCCCTTCTTACAACAGCTATTCTTAATTAACATGCACTGTGAATTTAAGAAAAAGGTTTGCTTTGCTGCTTTTCCTTACTTAGGGGAATGTTCCACGACAAAACATTTCACAGTGGATCAAATCACTAACATACCACAAAGTAAGAAGCCAGCACCCTGGATTTCCACTTTCAGCCCTATTTGGAATCTGTAATTTATTTCTTAAAGAAAAGCTGACTCTCATGAGTTGGCACTCACTTAAACATGTTTGGCAATGTGTAAGGGTAACTTATACATAGTTTCCTATATCACATACATAAAGTTTCCTATGGCAGGAGGAGTTTGCATAACACTGACACACATAACTAAGAATTGCACTATTTTAAAGATACAGCTCTTTAGCTTGTCAGCTTTCAGCTACTGAACTAGAAAAGTGGGTTTTATTTGCTGGCTGATTAGTCTTTTACTTACGATCTATGCCAAGTTGCACTTGGATAAAAGGTTGGAATTCATTAGAAGTACACAAAACTAGGAATTTAAATGTGATTTAATGAATAGAACTGCCTCAAATGTGCTGGACACACATGAAATATGTTTACATAAAATGTTTTACACAACTTACTCATGGAAAAAAAGGAGTATGAACTACAGATAAGGAATGTAACTGTTTTCTCTTATATCTTTAAAGATTTACAAATACCATGCCTCAGCCACTTATTCATGGGACAAGACGCTTAACTGCCTTTTTCTAAAACTAATTCCCAGTCTATTTCTCAACTTCCAATGGGACAGTATGTGAACTGTGTTGTTGATTCATATGAAGTGAATAAACTGTTTTCTCCACATCTACAGAACAGACAAATGCCATCAGACTTCAGCTGCTCTCTTTAGCCTTTACATGAGACAGATATAATGCTTTGGCTGACCCGCTGCATAACCATCCTCTGACAAAAATAAGGTCCAAGTTTAAACTCAGGCTTAGAACACAAACCAAACAAACTGCAACCTGAGCACTGGCTCCTCAAGGTGAAAATACTCTGGTACTTATATTCTGCATAAATTCATTCTATAGTTGAAGAAGCTGCCCCTGCGACTGGCTATTCAACCCTTTGGCTTTCCAGGTATTCACCTGAGCAGGTCTGTGTCTCTTCAATTACCTATATTAGGAAACCAGTCCAGTCATAAATTGATGCAGAAAAAGGAGTTTCTGGTCAGATGAGCTTCCTGATGAAAGTTATTACATTGCGAGGCAGTGCTACAGCTGGTGCATAGGACTTGGTAGAAATGGGCAGATGACAGCAACAAAGATACCCTGAAGTTTATTTAGCCTTTGGAGGAATTCAAACATGATTGGGAAGAGATCAGTTACTGGGCGTCCCACTTTGAAAGAAGAAGACTACCATTAACTCTGCATGTCCAAGAGAAGCCAAATACATCTACCAAAAACCTATCATAGTTTTCATTAATCTTAGGATGTTTGGCCATGATCATGTTGTAAAATGCAGACAAAATCTGCTCTTTTGCTAATGTTAACTCTGGCACACAAATATGAAGATGGCACAGAAGCATCTAAATGTAAATGGCCCAGCTGCATGGAGATTTTAAGAAGTCCAAACGCTGTATAAACTGTAAAGCCTCATTCCAAAACACTGGAATAAGGGTTTAGCTCCATCCAGAGTGAGCTCTTGTTGCTGTGCCTGAATCTAAACTGCCCAGAGTACTAGGCTGACCTCTCAACATACCTGTAACACTGAAAAATGATCTGGCCCTGCAGATCTTGACAAAAGTATGTCTTCCAAAGCACACCACAGAAGGTGAAAAACGACTGCTAAAGAAGGTAGGTACTATGCTATTTCCTTCCACCTAGACAGCAGATGTGGGAAGGGGGCCAAGATCCAGCTTTTCAAATTCTAAACTTGTTCACGTGCATGACAGCAATGTGGTCATCTTCACTGGGGCCTTGCCAGGTCTTAGATACCTCCTGCTAAGAGAACACTGCCTTTGGTACTAGACACAAGACCACCAATAGTCAAAATGTGGACAGAAAAATCCAACTAAGATATATGGCATATAAGAGGAAGTTCTTTTGGAAATTGATTGCTAATTTGTTTAAGAGTGGGAAAGGAAACAAAGCTACAAAGTGTCATTGCGTGTTTCTACTGTATCTCTGCCAAACCAAATTAATCTCCAATTCACTGTGTTAAAAATTGGACAATTTCAATATTGTGAGCACAGTATTCTTGTAAAGGAGCCTTGACACGATTGCTTTAATCCAGTTCAACTAATAAGTTCTGAATTTAGCCAATGCTGAACAGTAAAACCCTCCGAAATCTCCTGGATAGTCACACCACGGCGGCAAGTATAATCAACCACTGAATGTCAGTATTGTTCCACACCAAGACAGCCCAAACATATGAAGGTGATCAGCTATACAGCTTAGAATAGTTCTCTGTACATTTTAACACAGACACAATAGCGTATCTGTTAACAAATATAAGACCAAATCCCTAGTAAATGCATACAATGCTGCACAGAAGGGTTTCAGTACAACCAGTACCAGTAAGAGCCACTGAATACAGTCCTGTGAAGAAGCTGTTAATGCTCATGCAGTGTTTTTATCACAGTTGTCCTGCTGTTAATGCTCATGCAGATTCTACTGATCAGAAATTACTGCACTTGTCATAATATACTTTTAACAAGCACAGCCATGCAGGAGGCTAATATAATACCTGAACGCAGCCATTTCATTCTACCGTGCACACTGCAAGCTCTTTGTGCACAAATGGCTGTGTTAGCCAGGCCTCTTCTTTTGCCACAGCTGCACTTAGGATATAAGCCTATGACTTGATATGCAGTCAACAGAGGGCATGGGTAGCCAGAAAGGGAAGTAGCATTGGACCACTGCCCCTATTTACTCACCTGCCCCAAGCTGCCCAGGTACCCACTGTGTTCATACAACTGTTTGCATGGCCTCATGGTCAACTGGAATAGCATGCTGATCCAGGGGACCATGCTTAGCAGATTCCAGCTTTATTCTGCTTCTAGCATTAAGAGTTCCCTTCAAACCCCCTCACATACTCCTTTCCTCTTTCTCAAGTTTTAGCAGTACACTACTTTGCTGCCCTCTGGAAAACTGAAGCTCTCTGCCTGCAGCTGAAGTATAGAGTACACAAGCGCTGCCTCATCAGTCAGTGGGCAGCTCAGTTTGTTTGCTTCCTAGTGCTGACTATGATAAAGAAGCTCTTACAGCAGTGGGAACATCAGTCTATTATATGCAAGACTAAGTAATTTCACTTATCCCACACAGTGTCAAGCAATCGGCACCAGCCAATTAAAGATGGATTTCAAGTTGGATATCTTACAACTGGTACTGCTACAAAAATATCTTATGTAAGCTATTATTTAACAAAAATAACTCACAATGCTCCCAATACTGGAGATTTTCCCGTTACTCTTTTTTAGTGCCAGATTTCACTTCAGACATGTAGACATCCCTGAATTCATTTCTCAGTACTCTCTTCCTCACCAGAACATTAGATTTGCAAAGAAAAAGAAAGATTAAAAAATGCTGAACACAACAATTCAATCTAGTAACAGTCAAGTTTCCTCACACCCACAGGTCAAGCTAATACTCGTGGCCAAACAGCAAAGCATGTTAGGAGCTGCAGCACTTTGAGGGTAAAGGTCTTGAATCAAAGACTGTAAGTTTAAAAAAACAGTAGCAGAAGCACACCACCAAAATGTAAGAACCGTGAAAGCATGAGAGTACCTGTGCAGCAGCATACATACACTGCTTTGAGATGGCACCATAAAACCACTCCATGGTGTGCTTGTTAGGCTATTTCAAAAGGATATGTTTTCCCCCACTCTGCTTTTAGGCCTAAGAAGCAGACTGAAGACTTATGTGGGTTATTATTTGTGTCTTTAGTCTACAGCAAGCCATTCAAGCTAATTTTTAGTAGGCTGACAGCCTTCCGTATTATTGCCTGACTGAAAGGCATCTTACAGGCACTGCACCAACAAGGAGGCCATAGAGGTTTTGCAGCTTCTCAGACTTCCCATCTGACACACAAAATTCCACATCATTCTCTGCAGTTACTTCTGTTCTACCAGAATATGAAGTCTTCACAGAAGAACTAAATATTTTAACTAAGGCGCCTTCAATATGCTCTTTCCAAGCCTGTATCTTTTCTGTTGATTAAGTTGGGATTTTGCAGTGTTACTATTTTCTCAGTCTCTTGGCACAGAAACATCTGGACTGAAGTCATAGCAGGCTCACAAGACAAAAGCAGAGCTCATTGGCAAGAGAGAGAAGCTGTGAGCATGGGAAAAAGACTTGATTGCACATGCTTGTCCTTAGCTACAATTAAGTACTCTGAAATGTAGTTAATGCAGAAATATTGTTAGCAGCTGCTTTTCATAACACTGAGCTGAGTTACAGACAAAGCTCTGAAAACCAGGAAGTGAGGAATTTATCACTGACCTCTGCAATGCCCTTCAGAGCATGTAATAATGACTGAAAATGGCTCAAGATGGGATCATCACTGGGAAAGTATTCCACAGCTTCCCATGTTCCCTGCATTTGGCATAGCTTCTCTGAAGGGTGGAAGGATTAGTGGGGATGGACTGTCTGAGCCTCTGTTACGTATTTGTGGAAATGAACTTCTAGTGACAAGCAAATGGAAAGTAACCAAATGCTTAAAGTAATCCGGAGAAACAAAGAAGCTAAAATAGGCAGCTCTATTTTGAAGTTAGTATTTTTGTCACAAGCAGCTGGTTGGTAGTTTAGCTTTTTCCTATAAAATCAGGATGTGTCACAAATGTTCCACAGCTGTGGCAAAACCTCTCCTCCCCACCACCTCAGCTCCATTCACCAACTTTTAAAACAGCAAACCTGATAAAAAAAAGCTCTGAACATGGACTTAACCTGACACAACATGAGAAGCTGTGATTCAAACTGATATACCTGGAAGTCTCAGATCTTACTAAAATTGAATGTTCTGTAATTTCAGTTTTTAAGGCTCCTATAATTGTTAACGTATCTTACTGCTGCTGCTCAAGTGTCATTAATCTTTTTATTTAGATGATGCCCAAGGCTTAGGCATCTGCATATTAAAGTAAAAACATTTTTGCAACCCTTCTTAAGAACTACCTGGTGTTTCTCTCTATAGTAAAGCAAAACTCCCATCATCAAATCAGCTCTAACTGTCTAACTTAACACTTAATGAAGTGCTTATATCTGTACAATTACTCAGATGTATATTTTACCAGCAAGATCATCCCTATTAAAGACTAAACATTTGGCTTCCCAGATGCTCAGTATACATTTATTTATCTTTGCTCTAATTTAAAACACGGATAGTAAGTTTCTGGAATTGTTTTTAAAAGGAACTAGTCCTTTGAGAATACTCTGAAGTAATCTTAGTGTTTGGTATCCGTAACAGAATTTCAAACTTCCTCCATGCTTTTACCAATAGCAATCACAGCCTGCATAAGAATCTGTGCAGCATTTCATCTACTGACTGATGAACTTTCCAATAATACATTTGCATGGAGCCTCTGTTCAGTTTAGCTCCACTTCTAATTGCTGGCAAGATAATTCCATCTCTTGCCAAGAGAACAATCTTAGATCCTGAAAAATTGCAGTTCCCCTTGGGTCCTGAAAGAACAGAAAGCTTCACTGTAGAAGCTGAAAAAGCAAGAGTTTCTTATTTAAAAAAAAAACACCAAAAACATAAGCCCCCCCCAAAACCTCCATGGAAACAATTAAAAATTCATTGCTAAAACTACATTTTTATATGAAAATGGAACATTTCTAACACAATTTCCATCTGAATCAGCTGCTTCAGGACTACTAAGGAGCCACTTAAGACATTTCCTCTCTGAAACCAGTAATGAACAGATAGAGAGGATCAAATGGACACAGGTAAGGTGAGTATCTTGTCACACATTTACTGTTAACTATCAAAGGGATTTTCAGGAACACGCTGCTAATTAGGCTCATATTCCAGCCAAATCAGAAATCTTAATGACCAAGGCAGCAGGATGTGATCATAGGATATAAAAGTTCATCTCAGTAGTTCTTTGGGAAGACATTTTCCATCGTACTCCAGTAAGTATAGTGGCCAGCGCAACAGTGCTACCAGCTTTACACTGCTGTTTTTCACAGGCTCTATTTTAAGAGGCACTCAAGGTTCCAGAAAGGACAAGCACAGAGCCAAAGAGCCATACACTACTGAAATACCAGATCAGAGCCAGCAAGTACCACTGGACCCCTGCTGTGAATGACAGCTCTTACTAATGTGCATGCACTCTGCCACAACTAGGCATCTAACCATTTTTACCCCCTTCTCTTCCATGAGACAACAGCTGAGCAGCACTCTTCAATTATTCCATCTTACATTAACAATATCAGTGTCCCAAATACCGAGAAGTTCCTGTTACAAAAGCAGCCTCTCATGCACTATGTTGAATGAGCATAAAAGATGTCATTTTCTGTATATAAACTAAGTTTTGAAAGTTATATGGGAAACTGAAAAAATAAAAGAGAACTAAGAGGAAGGAACTTAACATTTTAATTTGGTTTCTTCCCATTATTACAGCCATGAAGTACAGCTGCCACTTGTCACCTGCTGTTCAGACCTCTCTATCTCAAGAGCTTCAATTTCTCTTCCATCAATCCTCTCGACAAGGTTTCTGTTTAAGATTCTTAATGCAGAACTGCTTGTAAGAAGAGCTTTGTTTGAAAGGGTAACTGGCATTTGGCTGGTGCATAGCTATTTTGCACAACAGGAAACTTCATTTCAGGATAAGGAGAGCAAAATTAAGCACTAAAGGGCGTGGAGTGGTCTTAATGTTTAATTTGCCATCTGCAAGGAATTTTCAGGTATGTGTGCTCAGATGGAAAGAATATGCTTGTCCCATTATTATTTTATAAACCCAGGTTTGCTTGTGTCTTTGAGTTAGCATCCAACACACCACAGATTAAATTCTAGACATTTACAGTGAAATACTGTTCAGATGTTTGGTTTGGTTTTTTTTTTCTCCATAAATGAGAACCTATGTACAATTTACAGCTGCTGGGAACTGCCAGCTGAATCATTCTGATAGTGGCATAGTCAGGTTTTTTGCAAAACATTTCTTCCATCATTTTACCTCTTGCATGAGTAATTTAATTTGCTTGTGCTTTTCTTGCAAAAAAGCTTTTCCTAACCTACACAGCCTTCTAATTAATGAATTTTCATTATTTAAGTATGATTTTTGCCTGGTTGTTTACCCAGTAGCTATGATGAAGCTATCCCTCTAGTTTGATTAACATCTAATGGGCACAAGTCATTCATCAAACTGAAAAGATGGTAAATGCACTGCTACTTCAAAGTAGATTAGCACTGAAACAAAAGAAAAAAAAAACAACCTCCGTTCAATTATGCTGTTAGGTAGTGAACGGGGCAGAAGTGATATGCGATGCACAGTGGTGGATGATAATGGATTAATTTCCAGCGCATATTATGCAAACCCACACTCACAGGGCCCCTTGCTAATTAAGCAAAAGCAGTATGACCGGAACCACCATGTTTGCAGCAATGCTGCTAAGGAAGATTGAGGAGAGCTGGGTGCTACCTACCCCTCCTGGTGTGGCTTTGCTGCAGGTTTTGCAGGTAGACTTGGAACAGCAGTTCCTGCATCATCCCTCATGCAGGCCCCGGGCTACCTCCCGTAAAAACTGAGCTAAATCACCATCCTGCGCATAATCCTTCCTTATCATTACTTCAGAGAACACCCCATGCAGCCCCCCGGGGTTAGGACCCCGCTCCTAGGAGAGCTAAAGGCAGGGGCAGCCGAGGTCCTGCGCACCCTCGGCTCAGCACACACAGCGCTACACTGCACAGGCATCTGCGCCCGGAGAACAAGGGTTTATTCAAATAACAGACTGATTCTGTGTGTAAACGGACACCGAACAACGGGAACGAACGCAGGTAAACCGGTAAGTCCCGGACTGTCGGGGCAGCGTCCCACCACCACCACCGACTGGGCTGTCACCCCTGCAGGACTCCAGCCACCTACAGCGGCCGGCGGCTGCGTTAGGCGCCGAGCACAGGCGGCTCCGGCCCGGCAGAGGTTTCGCGGCTGCCGCCGAGGCCCGCCCCACCACCGCGACCGCCGTGTCCCCCACGCACGGAAGCTCACACCCCGCGGTAAAGGCTGCCCTTAGCGCCCCGGGCCGCCGGCGCCCCACATACCTCCCCCGGCCCGGTGCGGCCCGTCCCGCTCCCGGGCAGCGGCCAAGATGGCGGCGAGGCCCGGCAGCGCGAGGGGCCGCCCCCCGGCGGCGGTGCGGGCGGCCGGGGCGCTGCCTGAGCAGAGCGGCGAATAACGGGCGTCCCCCACAAGCAGGCCCCCCGGTCCCGCTGCCGCGGACAGCCGCCAACCGCCCGCAGGTGCCCCTCTGCCTCAGCGGCTGGAAGGGCACGGGGGCTGCCTCCAGACGCTAGAACCACCTGGGCGGGCGGCGCGCTAGCGCACCGCTGGGCAAGAGCGGCGGCCGCCGAGGCCTCCCCTCCCCGTCAGGCGGCCGTCGCCCCCGCCCCCCGGTGGTGGTGCTGGCGCCGGCGTGGTCGCGGGGCGGGCCGAGCCGAGCCGAGCCGAGGTGAGCGGAGCGCGCCGCACGCCGCCCAGCGCGAAGATGGCAGCGGGGGAGCCGCAAGCCAAGAAGCTCAAGCTGGAGCAAAAGCAACTGAGGTAACAGGCAGCGGGGAGAGGGGAGCTCTTCTTCGCGAAGGAGCCCTTGCGGATACCGAAGGGTTGCCGGGTGCCTCCAGGGCTGCCCCCGGTGTAGGACGAGACACGTGTCGCCGCTGTGCGCGGTCAGAGTCACACCGCGAGGATCCCGCTGCGCTGGGCGCGGGGCTGTGCGGGTGGCCCCGCCATGGGACCGCACTCCCCACCGCCGTGCCGATGGCCGTCCGACAGGTACCGGTGCCGGGCCCCGGCGTCTGCTCGGGGAAGCCGCTGGACTGGACGCTCGGCGGCCGGAGCAGCTGCGGGCGGGAGCCTCCGGTGCCGTGCCGCCCGGTGTGCGGGGCCCTCGCTTTGCCGCGGGATCGGTTAGTGAGAGTGAGCTGCTGAGCACCGGGACGGGGTCGTGCGGTGAAATGGAACACCGCCGGCACTTGGGTTGTCACCCTGTGTGCTTCGTCTCTGAACGTACCCCCGAAAGACACGATTAGCATCCACGAGGGGGTCTGTGACCCCGTTAGCCGGGAATTTAGTTATCTAAAAATCCTCGTTAACAGAGATGTTTTCTTGAGGGCACGTGGAATATTTAAAAATGTTTTCCTGCTGAAATGATCTGTGACATTTGCGATATTTCCTTATTTGCGTGACCACTATATACTGACACTGACTGAATCTTACCTGGTTGATGGCCTGCATAGAAACAAGGCGTTTAAATGTCAGCAGAAAAATATGAGGTTTCTCAATGCAAGAAGCACGGTCAGAATAAGTACTGAGAGAGCTATTGCGGAGCTTTTGTTGGTCCAGTATCTGGTTTGTTTTCTCGGGATTATTCAGACATGAATGTAATTGTAAGATAGCCTATCTCCTTCCAAGTGTTCAGTATGTGAAGAGGATTAATGACATAAGGCTTGAAAGGTCCAAAATTATGTTGGCAATTACTAATAACTTGTTCAAATATAGCCCAAGAGAGATGAGAACAGTCCCTTTCAGTACTGATGTCCTTACTGAAAGAACTAATCCTATTAAATTTGTCAAAGTCAGGGCACTTGTTCCTTTGGCAGCTGGGTGACTTTTCAAGTTTAATAATAGTTGACAAGCTCAGTTGCAGATAGTGGAAGAGGAAAAATGTAACTGAACTCTGAAAGCAAATAAATGACAGGCAGCAGTGTAAGGTTGGAATTAAAAAGTGACAGTTACTTCCATGGACCTTTAAAGCAAGTGGGGCAAGAAACAGCCTATTCAGTGTTTCAGTCTATAAAGCTTATTACAGGTAGCTGCATTTTACCTGCTTCAGGCCTAAGCATTAAAAAGCCCTGACAAATTGGAGAACATTATTGGAGTACTGAGTTAAAATTGTAAAGGATGCTTCCAATGAAATGAAAGGCCATGGTGACATGCTGCCATCACAGCTGGTTAAACTGAAAATAATACTTTGTAAGGCATGATAGATAAAATATGAGAAACACTGTTAGAACTTGTCTACTCAAATTCTGTTTCAAGTTGTTTCAGTGTGAGGTGTGAACTAGACTCCAGCCCTGTTTCATAAGAGGAGAAATGCCGTAATTAACTGGTAATCAAATAAATGTAATGTGTGCTCTGCGCCGCAGGCTGGGCTCATGGGGCAGGTGAGGTGATTGGACTGGATTTGGCAGAGCTCTGCACTCATTTGAACATAGCGGCAAGAATGTGTTTGGCCGAGTTCTGCTGTGGGACTTTGTCCTGTGTTAAAAGCCAATACAGAAGGTACCAGAATGGTTGAGATTCGTTGACTTTGTAATGAGGTTTGGTTGTTAATGCAAAGCACTGCTAGATGTACTTGGGAGTACTGGAAACAGCCTACAGGTTAGAAAAGAAGATTGCCTGAACATTTTGGGAGATAACAACTTCATATTTGTTATACCAAGAATTAGGGGTGAATTCTTTGTTCTTGACATCTAGATCTGAGAGTCTCCAGCCTCTTCAGAAGACCATGTCTAATGGACTTGACAAGGATGCGTTTGTACCTAACTTATTGTCCCATCAGATAGAAACCTGAATCTCTTCTGTGGCTACCACAAAAACTATTTTAATATAAAAAATGACATAAAAAATTAAATCCCACCCTGTAATATAGGCCATATCTTGTCAACAATAGCAAACGTTTTCTACTCATATATATATATATATGTGTGTGTGTGTATTTTATTTTTTTTTCCATCATTCCCCCAGAATGGCATCAGAGAGGTTTCATGGATTCGTATTTTTCTTTTTTTAGTCCCTTTTAATCCTTTCAGGGAAAGGAAAGCAAATATTGCTCCCTCATGAGGCAGCAAAGCTGACTGGGTTCAGCTAAAGTTGCTTGAAAGCAATGTAGGATGGCCAGCTTTGCCACCCAGTGAGCAGAACACAAAGCCCGAGACCCAAACTCGCGTTCCCAGCTCAGCAATGTGTTGTGCTGACATTAATCTGCTGGGCAGCAGGTTTTGCTTTGTCTTTATTGACGGGTGCAAATCCCCACTAAAACCAACAGGCTTTAGGCAAGGCCATTAATGCGTGCTGCGTTGTTTCAGGCTTCTGACTACATCTCTGCTGTGTGAAATAAAATATCATTGTGTGTGTAAACTGTGCTGTTTGAACAGAAAATAGGCTTGCAAAGCTGCAAACAGCTTGTTGCTGAGCAGTAGCATCAACTTACTAGAAACATCATGAGGCAGTGCTTTAGAGGAAATTTACTAACGATTTGTGTCCTATATTTGGTTTGGTTTTCTCTTGGAAGTCTGTGAAAACCACAGCCAGGCTTCTGTTAACAGACTGATATGGTTACAAAAGAATTTGGATGTTCCCTGTAGAAATGTGTGAGCTTATATGTGCGTGTCTGTACAGAAATATACATGTGTGCAGCAGAAAAAAACAAGCAAACTTGTGAAATCCTGTGTTGTGAAGTCCCCTGTGCTGCATTATGGCCTTTTGGCCATTCCACAGCTGCTGTATTGATTGAATACCCATGACGTGGCTGGCTGTTTGGGCAAATCAGTTTATGTACATGAAGACAATGTAAGCATTGAATTTGACAAATACAATATCCTAAAAGTATAAAGTATTCCTTTTTTCCTGTTACTGTTTAACATCTCTTCCCTTTGTGGATAATTTATTATCAAATAATTTTTATTATCAAATAATATAATTTTTATCAATATAAATCAAATAATCAATATAATCAAATGATATAATTTTTATCAAAAGCAGTCCTTTATCATTACTGTTCCACTAGATTTTAGACAGCTTGCTACTGGAGACTGAAAAATATTGCAAATTTAATGCGTTTTTACTTTTCTTAATAAGGTGGCTTTTAATCCAGACTCTGAATATTTTAAATTAGCTGTGACAAAGCTTTCAGGTATTTTTTTTTTTTTTTTAATAATTTGATCTCTCTCCCCATTTGTATTCATTTCAGTTTCTGTCTTCGTGGCTTATACTTCTCTTACTTTCCGATTTCTCATATCTGGAAACATGAGTAATGGTTTCCATGTCAGTACTCTAAATGGTCTCTTACTACAAAGAAAGATCTGAAACTCAAGCACCTTGCTGTGTTTGCTCCCAGGAGAGTAAAAGCAATAGATACTTTCTTCAGATGGGTATTTAGACTCCTGTAGAAAGCAGAGAAACAAATACTTTGGAAGACACTAGCAACAGACTTTGCTAATTTTGCTTTATTTAGGATATAACAGCAGCAAGCTTCCCTTCAAAGTTGTGTTTATGAAAATATATCCAAAGCCGGAATGACTTGCAGCATGGAAAATACCTCAATCTTGCAGTTCAGGCCCTCATTTCCATTGTTCTATGTAACTCTCAAATTGCTGTCAATACTGACGTGTGTCTTCACCTGGCCTTTGATGTAATCCTGTGGGATTTCTCACAGCGTGTGTCATATTTCCACAGTTTTGTGTTCTTGTATTGGAGAGGCTTGTTATGGTGTTTTCATCCCTTTAATTAAGGTAAATCCCTGCTTTACAGGAAGGGGTGTGTAACCTGAGGAAAGAGGAGGTCGTGGGAAGGCGCCTTCTGCTTGGGACCACAAGCATGGCTGGTGTCTCTTTCTTTCCTTAGTGTTGTTACCTGCAGCCCACCTGGCCAGGAGAGTCATACTGACAAACAGATAGTTCAGACATAGTAGTCTTTGCTGATACCCTGGAGGAACATGAGCCTCCAACTTGGTGTGCTGCCTCCCTGAAGTCAACAGGACTAGCCTTGTCCCTAGAGCTGCTTGCATGCTTGGTTACCTGTGGGAGGGCAACCAGTGCAAATCTGCCTATTTCATTATGAATCTTGAAGTTCCTTCTTTTTCAGCTAATGAAACAGCTTGTGCAGAATTACTCATCTAATTGATTCTCCTAATATTATAAGCAGACAAGGAAGATGCCCGGAAAGGAGTCTTGAGTGAATATAGTAGTAGTTGGATACAGTGGCAGTGCAATAGTGTGAAATGCACTTTCTGCAGAACAAGACCTTGGCTTACTCTGTGGTTGCTGAGGTATATTTCATGTGGAAATGTTTGAAGCAAAACTCTGGCTTGTGATTCAAGGTTGTGATACTGAATTTGAGTAGTTACACAGGCATGGTACACAAATATTTCACAAACCAGTTTCAGCAGCAGGGAATGGGTTGCTATCTAAAGGTTATTAATTAGTATTTGCTGGCAACGTATTGGAAAACCTTATCTTGAAAAATACAAATTGAACTTGCAGATACGATGTGAACACTATGTTTTCTCAAAGCTGTTCATTTTTTATTTACATGAATTGCTTCTTAAATAATTTCAATTTACATGCTAATGTTATTTATGTGATAAATATCAAAGCATTTTGTGTGAAGGAGAGAAGCCTTTGGATATCACTCACAGTTCAGTGAAGGGTAGGGCATTTTTTCCATTTTGAACTATAATAATTTCTGTAATGATTGTTTGACCACAGTTAAAGCTGTTCCGTGCTTGAAGGATACAGTAACATAAAGCTATTTGCTGGCTTTATGCTACCTTGGGATTTCACTTGGAGTGAAAGATTTTTGTGGTTTTTTTTTTCCCCTTGTACAGTCAGTGATACAAAGTAGTTGTAAGTGTTTCAAGGGCTAGGCTATTTGACTAGAGTAACACAGAAAACAAGTATAGTTGTCTGCAATATGATGAAGACTTAGATTCATAGACTTTTCTTTCTTCTTACAGGTGTATGGTGTGTGAAGCTGCATTAAAATAAATGAGATTATGCTATGGAATTTTAAATTAATAATTAAAATTATTTTTGATACTTTGATAATAGATCCGCACAGATAAAATACATCTTATTTTATGTTGCAAAATACAAAATTCTCTCTGTAGAAAAGTTTTCAAAACAGTCAGTGTTCTAGCAAGAAATACATGCAGGCTCTGAAGAATGCTGTTATTGAAAGAGAATTTCTGGACTTCCTGCTGGCTCGGCTCATTTTATAATGTCTGTTAAGGCTACTATGTAAAAGCTCATTCTTCTGTCTTGCAAAAGAAGAAGAGTGGGCAGCTTATCTAAGATTAACCTTAGGTTTGTACTTTGAAGAAATTGAGAAAAATGCAAGGGTTAATGGAGAATTTTCTGTAGTGTAAACAGGCTGAATTATACCAAATATTTGTGGTGTAAAACATAGCATATTAATCCAAGGCTAAGGCCTAGATTGCCTGTGTCTTGGATACAAAAGTTACAAATGTATAAAATGCCTAGTTTTTGTGTGCTACTTCAATACAGTGTGATTTTAAAAATTCTCACATGCTTATATTTTGTTGTATCAGGTAGGGGTGCAATTCATTTTTAATTCACACCACTGTGCTTGAAAGGAAGTGTTTTAGTGAAATCATCTGAGAAATAATCGTTCATCATGTGAATATCTCTTCCTTACTGTACAGTAACAGAAGCACTTGAGAGAAGTTGTGGCTAGACCCTGTCAGGTATTATATACTTTTTTGGGGTGCAAACGCTGTGAATTCCATATTTCTCTCAGGGATTTCTGAAGCCAAAACACATGTGTAGGCACAAGTCGGTTGTGTCACGCAAGCAGAGTGAGTTTGGAAGGTGTCAGGGAGGCTGAGCAAACTCAGACTGGCTGCCTAGCACATATGTGATGTGACTGCAAGTTGAACTTGTGGCACTAGCATCATAACGTTAATCTACGAATGACCATAGGCAATTAATGACTGTTTTTTCCGGGGATACCCTGGTTCCTGTTACTCCACTTATGTATCAGGATGTCTAGAAGTTCCCTGGCAAATGACCAAAAACCTGTAGTAGTTGGTGATGTCTTGAAGATATCAGTAACGGTAGAATATATGATAGTATAAGCAAGGTGATTAGGCACTTGGGAATAGTTCGAAGTTTATAAAGTGCTATTGACAAGTGCTGTTGAGGTATCATACATGCTATTTTGTGAAGGGCTGTTAATTTTGCATTTTATAAAAACATACTTCTGGACCTATTCTGCACTGGTAGAAAGTTACAAACATTTGATGGTACCTCATTTGGCCTCTGTAGCTTAATATTCATAATATGCAGTTGTATCTTATAAATTACTAATAATATATTAACATATATATTTAATCTGTTTTCCTTTACATAGTTGTATGTGCTTGTTAAAGCTTGGGAATTATTTATGAGGGAATCTATAGCTTTTTTAAAAAATGGGATCATTCTTTAAAACACATTGATGGGATCAAGACGACGAAGCAATGTTACTGCTGCCATTATATTTGCTTGTGATCAGATTCCCCCCACCCCTCCCATTTTCAGTTACAAACTAGAGGCTTGGCTGTTAGGTACTGAAACTGTTAAACTAGGAATAATTTGTTATTCATCATGGGTCAGAGGATACAGACATTATATATCCGAATATAGTATTTACATTTTATTAGAGTTCAAAATCCTCTGTCAGGATTTGGGGACCTGTTGTACTGTGCATTGCAACAGTAGGGGCATGGATGCATTTCCAGCTCCAATTAGTTTGACTTATTAAGACCCCTGACACACATTAATAATGAAAATTTTGTAAGGGTTGAGTAATTTTTGAGTGTCCAGTTTAGAGAAATTTGTCCTACATCAGGTATCGAATATAAATATTCCTGTTATCTTCATGTGACATTATAGGTCCTTGAGCATCATGACCATCTCAGATTTTGGCATCATCTCTTCCACGACACTAAAAATCAGAAATAATTAAAAAGTTTGGCTTTAATTTTTCTGACTACAATATTCCCCTTTTGTAGATGGAAAGGAAGGGAAACTAAGAACCAACCACATGATTAGGAAGCTGTAAAGTTTAAATAGTCAATTAGAGGTGACACAGCAGTACTTACCAGAACAACATGGGATTCACTTTTGGCAAAAACAACCTCTTCTGACATCAGTTTCATGAATCAGTGTTTCTGGTGCTGGTAAGTTATCAAAGTGTGCCAAATCTGCAAGGGGTAGCAGTAACTTTGGCAGCCAAAGCAAGTAGGTAGGAAGAGTGACAAGAAGAACCTGGCTTTAGCAACTCTTTTCCTTTCTGGTAAGGCAGTTCTGCTTGAATGCGGACAAGAAGCAGTTTGGGCAGTGAAGGGCTGCCCTTTTTTACCCGCAGATGGTGGCAAACAGGCCCACGTCTCATCTGTGAGGTTGGAAAGGCAGAGTAATATCCGGTCGCTGCGTACCACAGGTGCCTGCCAGGTGTTCAGCAACCCGGGGATAAAATAGATGTCCCTCCTGGAGCTAAAGGCGAGAGCTACGCGGTGCCCGCCAGCCCTGCGCCCCAGCACCGGTTACGATTACGCAGGGAACGCGGTCTTCGCTGTTCACTGGTGCCGGTGCCCGGTTGCGCAGAAGGTCACCTCCGGCGCCGTTAAGATCTGGCCCAGCACGCGGATCCAGAGCGCGGAGAGGCGTTCGTGTCCCGTGTGCGGAACTCGCGTGTCGGGGGAGGCCGAGCGGCCCCGGCGGGGCTGCGGGCAGACGCGAGGGGAGCAGCCCCGTGACAGCTGCGGGACAGCGCTGCCAGGGGCTCCACTGGCCATCTTTGACGCGGGCAGCACGGCTTACAGCCCCGCACCTCTTCACTACCTCCGTTAAACGTTTTGTTTAATTAGCGCTGGCGCCCACAACTGCCATTTCGGGCTGGGGGGAAGGGAGGTGACAGCAGGAGGAGGCGTGTGGGAGGCGCGTGCTCTCTGCCCGCACCAAAGATGGCGGCCAGTGAGCCCGGGCTGCTGGCGGGCGGCGCCGCTCGGTACCGTGCGCTGCGGGGCCGGATCCTAGGGCCGGTCGCCCATTGCCCCGGGGCGGCCGCCCGCGCCGCCTCACGGGGCTCCTCGCGACCCAGCCGCCGCGGAGGGCGCGTGCGGCCCCACCCCCGCCGGGCGGCCCAGCCAATGGCGCGGCGCGCGGGCGGGGCGGGGCGGGGCGGTGGCGCGCGGGTGGGTCGGCCGAGCCGTGGCCGGCGGCTCAGTCGCGGCCGAGGCGGGCGGCGCTGGGGTGGCAGGCGGTTAACGGCCGGTGAGGTGCCGGGCGGAGGGGCGACGCCGCTGACCTGTGGGGCTCCGCCGCGGGCGGGCGGCTGGAGGGCCGGGGAGCCATGCCCACCGTCAGGTAAAACTGAGCCCCGACGCGGCGCCCGCAGCACAGCCCCATGCCCCAGGGGAAGGGGCGCGGTGGGCGCTGACGCGATACTCTGCCGGAGCTCGGCTCTTCCATCGCTTCTCCACCCACTTAACGAGGGTGAGGGGTAGCGCGCCCTCGCCTCGCGTTGGTTCTGCGGCTCCGCGCCCCCGGGGCGAGGCGGGGTTGCGGGGCCGGTGCCCTCCCGTCGCCTCAGCCCGGCAGGCAGCCCGCGCGGGGAGGAGCGGGGTCATCTCCTTTGTGGCGGACAGGTGCGGAGCAGCCGCTCGCCCCGGCCCGGGCGAGAGCCGCGGGGAGCCGTGCGCCGGGCCGGGTGCCTGCCGGAGGGGAACGCGAGGCGGGAGCCGGGGCACAGCCGGGGGCTCGGGCGGCCGTGCCGCTCTGCGGCGGTGCCGCTGTCAAAGATAGAGCTACCGCGGCGGGTCCCGCCCGTGTAGTGGTGGGGACGGATGTCGTGGGACCGCGGCAGCCGCGTCTGAACACGAAAGCATCGCTGTAGCGTGCCGTGACTGGAACCTGGTTTTAAATAAATCCTCAATAACGAGAAGCAGGGTAGTAATGACAGCCTAGGCTTTTAACAGTCTGTTTGGAACTGCGGTGTTGCCAGGTTATCACTGATAACTGAAGAATGACAAACCCTTGACATAACATTCAGTGAGTGGCATTATTATGACTAATTTTGCTTCCTAAAACTCTTAAGATGGGGTGGTATTGTGAACTAGTAACCTTCATCACGTAGTTATTTTGATCAGTCCTTTAGTTGCTATAGAAGTACCTAAAATCGCGGACTCAAGTTCAACAGTCGTTCACGGCTGCTTTCCCACCTCACCTCTCCACCCTCAATGTAAAACTCAATGTATCAGATTTCACACTGTTTCTGACCGAGGAGTGCAGATGGTAACTCTTTGAAATTGTATTAATATTTGGCTGCTGGGGCTTTTGGATTCTGCGCAGCTGCGTAAGGAGCTGGGTAGTGGTGGAACAGTGTTTTTTCCTGCAGCAGACTTACTTACATAAGGCCAAGGCTTTTAGGCTTGGCTTCTGAGTTGGAACCTGTGAATGTGTCACTCTAGAAGACTATGCAAGTTTCGTAATAAATGTTCATTGAAGATACTCCTCTAAGTCAGTATGTAGGCCAGTAACTCCTTAGTCAAATAATTGCTTTTACTTAAGATCTAAGTAGGGAAGGCATGTGAGCAGTCCTACAGGCGACTTGTATGTTTAAGGTCTGTATGCTGAAGTGATTTGCTGGTGAGTGATGCAAGGGAAATTGTCTGAACTCTGTAGTCATGGAATAACAGTTCAGAGATACTTTTAGTGTCAGGCAAGCTATTGTTAATGGTAAATGTCATCATAGTCACTCATATTTATGTTGTAAAGGTGAGTAGGTTGAGAGAAGGATGTTTTTAGTCAAGAGCTTATAGCTATTCAAATGCTACGAATCTGGTACTGTTGCTGTTAACTACATGTATAAATGTTTTTTGATAATTTCAGATCTTGTGTTATATGGGGTTTAACTATGTCCCTTGTGACGGAAAGGGATATATTGAGAACAGGCTTAGAACATGCCTTGTTTGGCCTTACTTTTAAAAGCATAATTAAAGCCCATAGAAATACTAACATTTTAGATCTTACAAAATTATATCTTATAGTTGTAAATGGAAGGCTAGGCAACAGCAGGCTGTCATGCAGTTGGGACACCTAAATGTCCCAGTAGTGTTCTTTTTAAGGCTTTCTGACTGCAGAATGTCTTAGCAGAAGAATTTAAGTGTATGTTACAGCTGCACAACAGTATAAGGCTGTTACAGAACAATAAAAAAAGATGAGTTTTTCAACTTGGCTTTACTATTAGTTACTGTTATGTAGATGAGAAAAATCTTTGCAGCAATTAAGAAAAAAATATTTTTTTTTTTGAATAATGGGATATTTTTTTCTGTTTGTTTCTTAAAGCAAGACATGCCAGTATCTGAAGGCTCAAAATACTCCTCTGTCTCTGTGCCAGTAACTAATAATACGCTTTCACTGATATTTTGATGTTGCTCTTCCACTGAAGTGCCCAGCAGCATATGACGACAACAATATTGTGTGATAGTTAGATACAGCACTGCTAATGTTCAGCAGCCAACGAGAAACAGGACTGCATTTTTAAAAATGCTTGCAATGGTTGAGCATTGGTTATGTATAACCATCAAACTGGACAGGGCTTTCCAGATCATTCAGTTATGGTTAATTTGTTGACTTCTTCAAAATGATTGAAGGGTAGCTCAGTACTGATGTATGTGTGTTGTCATTCGGTGTGGTTTTGACTATTTGTGAAAAATCAGTCATCTTGGCAATCTCCAAACAGAATGACACAATTAGCAGGTAAAGATTTATTTATACTTAATGAATTACATTGTTTGAAGTAATAATTACAACTTGCTCTTCATCTAGTCCTGAGTTAAATGGCAAATTCATGAAATATATTACTTGTTGTCAAGTTGAGAATGTAAATGCAGCATGCATCCAAGCTTTCTGTAAGTTTCCATTGGTGCTGTAGTTTTGCCTGGTAGGTGGAGAGTGTATTTCTGTGTCCAAACAAGTTTAAGATTTGTATGAACCTCTTGTTCTTAGTTTGGAGTTTAAAAATATATATACAGTTTACATATATGTGTGAGTATATATATATATATATACTCATACATACATACATACTGACTGTGTATAGTCATTTATTTAATGCCCTTAATTCGTGCAGGTGGAGATGTCATTTGTTTCTTGAAGACCTGAGCCAAATACTTTCTTGCAATAGGTTAGTCAGGTTAAGCAAGAGCACCTTTCTCAGATGATTAGATACCAGTACTCTTGTGCATGAGAATGGACTGCAGGGAGTCAAGGAGGCTGTAGAGTACATAAGTCTTTATTCTGTGTCTGTGGCAGAGATGTATTTCTGGTGTTCAAGGCCAGGTTGGACAGAGCCTCGGGTGACATGGTTTAATGTGAGGTGTCCCTGCCCACGACAGGGGGCTTGGAACTAGATGATCTTAAGGTCCTTTCCAACACTAACTATTCTATGATTCTGTCAGTCTATGAAATAACCTGTGTATTGTGAAATCTCACATTTCAGGAAGCTATTGCTGTTTCCTTACTGTGCTTTGCATCTAGCTGGCTGGAAATCATCCGTGATATTTTAATCAGTGCAGGTGTCCAGTGTGACTGAGCAGCAAACATAAGGCCAGTAAGGTTCACGTGTACTGCTGAAATGTTAAACTTGATGAAGAATGTAGCAGTTTAATATCTCAGCTTCTTGATCCGGAGACTTGTACATTTAGCATTCTCCTGGATCCTAAATACTGTGTTTGATGTTTTGCTTTTATGATATGTGGATTTATAGAACATATGTGATATTATTAGTATTAGTATTACAGAGGAGCAAACTGTAGCCAGGTAACTGCCATAACTCATGTTGTGTCACAAAAAAATGCAAGAGTGTAACAGTGCAGATACTTTTGCACTGTTAGGGTGCTGAAATGTAGCCAGTGTTGGGTTAATCAGGTTGAACATGCTAAGGATTTACATAGCAAAGTCTTCCTCTTTAACAGTAGAAACACCGGACTTTCCAGATTGTGGTTCACAAAGCTCATGTTAGAAAACGCTGATCACAGTGGTGATCTTAAATGTCTGCTTTAACTTGCTGCATTTTTAAAATATGATACTTGAAAAGAGGTTGTTTAGATTTCCCATTTTGCCCAGAAAGGTACTTTTACCAAAAGCAGTGTCAGTTAAGGAATGACCCAGCTACAGCCTCCAGTACAAATTGAGTGTATGGATTTTTCTCCTTTTTGCCAATGTGACGTCAATACCTTGTTTTAAGCATGGAAGTTCTAGTACTTTGGAGCTTAGTTAATTCAAACATCCAGCTGTAACAACCGAAAATGTAGAAATACGTGTTAATTGAAATCCGAAGGCTAGCTATTCATATGTGTTACTTTGTATTTAGATATTTGCAAGAACAAATTGTGTTGTGTGCCTCTTCATAGGGATCAAGCAGTTAATATACTCAAAGTTTTATGTGTTTGAAAAGCTGTCAAGTTCTGCTATCCAACATCTGGTTGAAAGAAACAGCTATGCTGAAGTTGGGGCAAGTTTGCTCAGAAGTGTCAGGAGAATGTTTCTGAACATACATTTACTACCCTAGTGATAGCTACCTTGGCTTTTAAAACTTTCTATCCTAGATGGCACCCTACTACACAGCCTTAGAATAATTGGCCAGGTACGATTATAAAATACCGTGGGAGAAGGAAGGCTTGAGGATGGAACAGGACTTACTGTATGTGATTTAAAGAGCTGCCTGCAATAAATGGAAGTGGTAGTTCCTGCTGACATAAGAGGAGTTGTGAATGCATGTTGCTGGCTTAATAGAACTAATGGACGCTAAACCAGTACAAAGTTGCTCTCGTGCTGCTTCAGGTATATTGACCAGTATGTTCTGCAGCCTGCAGCTTTTTAAATGCTTGCTAGTTTCTATTTTGCTTTTCCATTGAACAAGGTAACCTATTCATAGGTAGTGACCTCAACATGTCAGCTGTATTTCAGAGAGGTTTTGAAGTACAGCTGCTGTTTGCTGGCATACCATACAGTTAAGTGCTGATACTTCTCTTACATAGAATTATCTGTGATACTTCTTAACTGTAGGTATAAAATTATTGATGTGTAGAATTTCATAGGATGTAAG